TGGAGGGAGGGAGGAGAGCTTGCGTGATAGGCGCCGGCGGCTTCATCGCGTCATGGATCGTCGCCAAGCTGCTGGATCGAGGCTACAAAGTTCATGGCACCGTTCGAGATCCAGGTGAGTAATGTATTCATTATCGATACTTGGCCACATTTTGGCTGGATTCTAGACGACGATGAGAAGAATGGGCATTTGAAGAAGCTCCCTGGCGCCGGATTATCGCTGTTTAGAGCTGATGTTCTCGACTATGAGTCGCTTGTGCCCGCCGTTCGTGGTTGCGATGTTGTCTTCCACACCGCTTGTCCCGTAGCTCCAAACTTTGAGGATCCAGACGTAAGTTCTGGAGATTTTCTTCTTCTCATCGATCGTACTACTAACAGGCTGTGTTAAAACCTGCCGTGGATGGCACTCGAAATGTAATGGAAGCTTGCCACAAGGAGAATATCAAGCGTGTTGTGTTCACCTCCTCTGTAGCTGCCATGGTATATGATCCAAATCGACCTCGAGATCAGATAATCGATGAGTGCTGCTGGTCTGATCCTGAGTCCTGCCGAAAGAACCAGGTAAAGGAAGAGAAAACGCTTAAAAACTTCTAACTATTTCTGTTCCAGAAATGGTACATACTTGCTAAAACCGAGTCGGAGAAGCTTGTTGCCAAACTTGGCGACGATTTTGGAATTCGTGTTGTTGCGATCTGCCCTGTTCTGGTTCTAGGCCCTATCTTGCAATCCAAGATCAACTCTAGCGTTGGAATCCTGGCAAATCTGATGAATGGTATGTAACACCAGCTTGTTCTTTTTCTTTTTCTTTTTCTTTTAAGGAAGCTTTGTTCTTGCGCAGGCTCGAAAACTAGCTACCCCAACTCATACTATCCTCTCGCGGACGTGCGAGATGTTGCCGAGGCGCACATTGCCGGATACGAGGATCCCGACGCCTCTGCCCGCTACTACTGTGTTGCGTACTCGAAGCATTGCAAGGAGATGATCGAGACACTCAAGGAAGACTTCCCACAATACTCGTACCCAGACAGGTAAGCCATTCCTATGGTTCTTATATGATTAAGAGATTTTTCTTTCTATTCTGCAGGTGTGAAGGTGAGACCACTCAAGGCCATCCATTCGAGAAGATCTCGAACAAGAAGATCCTGTCCCTCATCAAGGAGTTCATCCCCTACGAGAAGGTGCTGGTGGACACGGTCGTTAGCCTGCAAGAGAAAGGCTTGCTCTGAACGCTCGCTCAAAAGTCCTACAAACTTACAGATCCGAACTGAGAGATCAAACGCTTCCAGGATTAAAAAGCGCATGTCGATTCATCTGTTTTCCGCATCTCTAAGCTCCCGGATGCACCGGTGGCCTCTGTTTGGATCGCTCCACTTGCGTGGTGTTATGAAAACCGAGTCCCGGAGAAGCTGTCGTGAGCGCCGCACTCATTCATCCCGATGTTGAACATAGCGGAACTGCTCGATGCTGTCGAGGACGAGGAATCGACACAAGCTATTTGCTGCACCGGATCTCAGAGAAAGAAAAGGGATAGAGCTTGATGATTTTGCCTCGATTCCTCGGACCATTAAAGAATTCCTCGAGCAACTGATGGCAGCTGGGGATCAACAACGATATGGGAGAACAACGACATGGCGCTAAACCACACCATGACGATCGTCCTGTGCTTTCCCAGGCTAGAAGTAGTGCCTGATTCCATCGCTTCCTCCTGAGATGTGCCTGGGACGGAACGCGACTATTCCAAGATGTGAATAATCACAAAAGAAGACATTGACAGATTACAACAGTTGTTCATCACAAATATGTGTGCTTGGCCCGTCTCTCTGGAGTCGTTTGTCATGGCATCTTACATCGCCAACGATTCAGAAAAGATACCGGGAATAGGCATATGCCATCGCGTTCCGCCATCTTTCTTTGGATTTATTTACATTAAATCTCTTGATATATTGGTTTTGCTACGCATTTGCCACATGTTTCCGTTAGCAAGTTTTAGGACGCGTCTTGGCATCTCTGGAAGCACTTGCTGGCATCGGTTTAGATTCCCTCTTTTGGCAAATTTAGTGTTTTCGGGGCCACTTCCCAGCCCAGCGCTAGCTTGGAGAGTAATTGCCATTATTCAGGAGATCATCTGCAAAATACTCTCTCATCAGCCCCTGCCAGATTGACATCCTGGCGACCACCTCGATGATACTTTTGCCCACTTAACGTTTTCGCGTAAATTCTATGGTGGTGGCAGTGCCAATGCAGCGATTGAAACGTCCTCTTGAGGAGCACAGTGGAACGTGTGCTGTTCCCAGAAGTTGGCATCGACGTCTACTGTGACTTTTTCTCTTCAGACAAAAGGCAAAGGACGAGGCCGGGTGAAATATACGAAACAAATGAGGACTGTAGTGCTTTGCGAGCGACTATGGAGGGAGGGAAGAGAGCTTGCGTGATAGGCGCCGGTGGCTTCATTGCGTCGTGGATTGTCGCCAAGCTGCTGGATCGAGGCTACAAAGTTCATGGCACCGTTCGGGATCCAGGTGAGCGATGGATTGATTGATAATTCCTGGCTTTTGATTCCTTTGGATTTGTAGACGATGATGAGAAGTATGGGCATTTGAAGAAGCTCCCGGGCGCCAGCGAGAGATTATCGCTGTTTAGAGCTGATGTTCTCGACTATGACTCGCTTGTGCCCGCTGTTCGTGGCTGCGATGTTGTCTTCCACACCGCCTGTCCCGTTGCTCATAAGTTTGAGGATCCAGACGTGAGTTTTTCTTCTTTCTTGGGAGATTTTTTCGTTGTCATCGATCATACTGCTGTCAATAGGCTGTGCTAAAACCTGCCATGGACGGCACTCGAAATGTGATGGAAGCTTGCCACAAGGAGAATATCAAGCGCGTTGTGTTCACCTCCTCTGGAGCTGCCATAATTTTTGATCCAAATCGCCCTCAAGACCAAATCATCGATGAGAGCTGCTGGTCTGATCCTGAAGCCTGCCGAAAGTACGAGGTAAAAGAAGAGGAAACGCTGGATCTTGTTTTCAAAAGCCTCTAAACTTGTCACGAGTTTTCTTCCAGGAGTGGTACAGGCTTGCTAAAACCGAGTCGGAGAAGCTCGTTAGCAAACTTGGCGACGAGTTTGGGATCCATGTTGTTGTCATCTGCCCTGTTGTGGTGCTTGGCCCCATCTTGCAATCCAAGATCAACGCCAGCGTTGGACTCGTGGCAATTCTGATGAATGGTATGTCAACGCCCAGACTTTTCTTCTTTCTTACAAAGAAGGAAACTCTGTTCTTGCGCAGGCTCGAAAACCAGCTACCCGAACACATACTTTGGACTAGTGGACGTGCGAGATGTTGCCGAGGCACACATTGCCGGCTACGAGGATCCCAACGCCTCTGGCCGCTACATCTGTATTGCATGCTCCAAGCTTTGCAAGGAGATGATCGAGACTCTCAAGGAGAACTTCCCACAGTACTCCTACCCAGACAAGTAAGCCATTCCTTCTCGTTCTTCCATGATCAAGAACATATTTTTCTTGCAGGTGTGAAGGTGAGACCACTCAAGGCAATTCATTCGAGAAGATGTCGAACAAGAAGATCCTGTCCCTCATCAAGGAGTTCATCCCCTACGAGAAGATGCTGGTGGACACGGTTGCTAGCCTGCAAGAGAAAGGCTTGCTCTAAACGCAATGCTCCAAACTCCTCGCTACTTACAGATCCGGAACGGAGAGATCAAACGCTTCCAGGATTGAAAAGTGCATGTCGAGACTGGGCTCTTCGTCTGCAAAGTACGTTTTTTCTTCCACCCTGAGCTTTCCATTAGCAGCAAACTTTCTTCCAGCTTCTCTAAGCTGTCGGATGCACTGGTCTTTCTCCGCGGAGATCCACCCTCTGTTTGAATCGCTCCATTGGCGTGGTGTTCCGTGCATGAAAACCGTGAGGCCGGAGTCCCGGAGCTTCGCAACCTTTGCGATCTCTTCCAAGACACTGTCGTCCGTGGTGTAAGCGCCGCACTCGTTCATCCCGACGTCGATGTAGTGGAACTGCTCGATGCTGTCCAGGAACTCTTCGCTGGTACGAGGAATCGATGCAAACTCGCCAAGCTCCACCTCTTTTTCTTTCTCCGAGCGCGTCTTGTGATCCGGGCCGTGTAAGTGCGCTAGCTCCGCCATGAGCTGGTTTAAAACCACACCACCTTTGCTAAAACCCATGACGATCGTCCTGTGCTTTCCCAGGCAAGAAGTAGCGCGTGATTCCATTCGCTTCCTCCCTTTGGAAAGCTCAAGCTGCCCGTTCACCTACAAAACCAACGAATTCTCTCAAAGTTCTTCGAGTGTATCTTACCTGAGAGGCGACGTCTTTGAGAACGCTGATCGTCGTCGCGGCCGCTGGGAGACCGCGAGGATCATACGAATGCGGGCTCCCCCATGGATTGAGGTGAGGAAGAAAACAATCGTAGCAGGCCATGGAATTCCACGCGAATCGGGGCGCCTCCACGACCCAGACATCCGCCCGGGGCCCTAGCTTGCGCGCGATCACGGGGCCGACGTTCCTGATCTTGGAGAGGCACTCCACTGTGGGGCTGAGGCAGCAATCAATGTGCTTGACGCGATCCCCCATGAAGAGGATCGCATTGAGGCGCTGGGAATCGCGGCAGGGGCCATCGGTGCCGAGAGCTAGATCGGAGAAGACGGAGGGGACGATCGACCCAGCGCGTGCGCTCACCACTGTGGAAACCCTCTTCTCCGAGGCCATGAGGCCAAGAAATAGAGGCGGCCTAAAGCGAGAATATGCCATGGATCTTTAGTAGGGTTTTAAGCGAGACGAGGGAGAGAGAGAGAGGAAGGAGAGAAAGCTAGGGCTCGCAGAATGGGACTGCGCGAGACGCTCCAAGAGGCGCTCCAGGCCCTGTATCATCACCCCGATCCGGAGGTTCATTCCAACGCGAATCGATGGCTCGACGATTTCCAGCACGGAATGGATGCGTGGGGGGTAATATCGATTTGCCGGAGTGTTTTTGCAATGTGGATGTGTTCTTCCTTCCCTGCAGCTCTCGGATAGTTTGCTACATGATCCAAGCAGCAGCCTGGAGGTGTCGTATTTCTGTGCTCAAACGCTTCGAACGAAGGTTACTTTGATTGCATTCTCGAGGGCTTTGATCTTAACCGTGGATTTTTCAGATCGAACGTGACTTTGAGGATCTTCCATCCGGAGCTCCTGCGTCTTTGCGATCGTCGCTCATGGTATCTGTGAAATAAAATCTCTCTCCCATTTTCTGTTTTCTTTTTTCGTGTAGAATCTGCTTGTAAAATTTAATCAAGGTCCACCGCTTGTGAGAACACAGGTATGGACTTTTGTTCCTTTTTTTCCCATTCTAACCTCTCACTTCAGCTGTGTTTGGCGATGGCTGCCTTGGCCATACACATGCCTTCGGAAGAATGGGGTGGAGTTGGAGTGGTGAAGTGGTTGGGACTTGAGCTCGGCTCTAATCCCAACGCCGCTCTGAGCTTGTTGGAGCTGCTAGCTGTGTTACCTCAAGTCTGTCACGCCACTTGCGCATTCAGCCGTTTCAGCTAGTCACAACTTTCATCTTGCAGGAAGCTTACGGTACCAAAGTCACTGCCCGGCCGGAAAGAAGACGCCAATTCCAGAAGGAATTAGCGATGTCTGTACAAGACGCCTTTGCGTTGCTCGGTTCGTGCTTAAGAAGCTCTGACGGACTCCGAGAACAGGTTGGGTAACATAGGCTGTCATTTTGTTATAACGAGTTTGTTTATATGCGCAGGTTTTAGAAGCATTGGCTGCTTGGCTTCGACTTAGCAACGGGTATGGATGTATAAATGATGAGATGCCTTTCAAGTTAATGTTTTCATACAGGATTCCTGCGAATGTGCTAGCATTGCACCCTCTTGTTCAAACAGCGCTTTCTTCTCTGCAGTCTGAACAAAACTTTGTTGCTGCAGTTGATGGTAAAGGCTTTTATTAAATCAGCTGGGCCTTACTTTGTCAAAGTTGCAGCCGTTTCTGAGCTAATACGCTACACGATAACTGGATGTCCGGAAGATGTGGCTGTTCATATGCCTTTGGTGCAAATACTGGTCCCCTGCGTTATGGGCCTGCGTCCTCGGTTTGCAGTTGCATTGAAGGTGATTAGTCCTGGCTTTTTTGTTCTATTTTAATGATTTTTTTAAACGCAGTCTGCTGTGTCTGAGAAGCAAGCTAAAGAAAATGGTGGCGCTACAGCTATAGACGAAACCGATGAGGTAGCATTGTGGTGAGAATACTGCATTGCTAACATTAAGTTTTAGGACGACGAGACTGTCAAAGGAATAGCGTATTTGTTTGCAGAAATGGGAGAAGCTTATGTTGGACTTATAGCAAGTGGTAAAAGGAATATCTTAAGCATACCTTTACTTATTAGCTGATTACCAGGTACAAATGAAGCTATAATGATAGTGGAAGCCTTAGTTGAGGTTACATCGCATCCGGATTATCCTATTTCTTCAATGACGTTTAATTTCTGGCATCGACTTAGTCGAGCTTTAACAAAAAGGTTTGTTGCGTTTATGTATCGTAAACCGACTAAATTAATAATCACAGAGAGAACTATAGTGCCTTCGGCAGCGAGGCAGCTGGCGAAGCAGAAAGGGAACGTCGCCTCGCTATTTTTCGTCCTTACTACAGACTACTGGTGTCTTTGGTAATGGCTCTTTTATTTTTTACATTTGTATTAGAAGCATATTTTGCAGGTTAGTTCCCATGTCGCTTATCCACCCGATTTTAAGTCATGGCGAAGAGGCGAAGATGCGGATTTTCGTGAAACTCGAGCAGGTAATTTTTATAAAAAAAAATTTTCTGGAGTTACTTCTAGCAATCCTGATTACTTTTCTCATCAGACGTTGCACACATGTTGATAGACGTCACTGTTGTCCTTGGTGGTCAAGAAACTCTTGGACTTCTAGCAGAACCTTTAACAAAAGTCAGTATTCCGGCAGACAAGAACGAATGGAATTGGCGACCTACAGAAGCTTTACTATACTGCATCCGCGCAATAGCGAAGACTGTATCTCTTTGGGAATCAACTCTAATGCCAACGGTGGGTTTAAATGAGTTCGGATGAGGTCTGAGGCTAATCACATGTACAGGTTATGACTCTGTTACCTCAACTGCCAACAATACCGGAGGTGCTTTACACATGTAAGACAAGTTCCCTCGAAATCTTTTTCACTTGATTTTGATTATAATTTGTGAGAATGCAGCATGTTTGACTGTTGGAGCTTTTGCGGACTGGCTAGGAGCGTTTCAAAGTTCTAAAACTCTTCTTCCAACGTTGCTTGAAATGCTTATAGGCGCCCTTTGTGTTGGTGAGAGTCCGGCAGCAGCAGCCGCACTGGCCTTGAAACATGTTTGCGATGGTACTGATGTTACTTACAGTTCAATGCCTCTAAAATGACTTAATTGCAGCTTGCAGGACGCAGTTGACTGGATCGATAGAATCTCTTCTTGCTGTTTTTCGTCAGGTAATGTCTGGAGAAGACAAAAAGAAATTTCTTCTGGATTCTGAAGGTGAATTGCAACTGGTGGAAGGTCTCAGGTAATCGTCAGTGTTGTCCGTGTTGTCCTATACACTCTGCTTATCCTTGATTATCTCAGTATGGTTGTGAGCGCCTTGCCTCCGGAGCAGCTGTTTCAGGCCTTGCAGCATCTTTGCTATCCAGTAATCACGCCACTTCAGGTATGTCGGGCAAGGCACTAATTATATTTTTCTTAATTGTTATTCGCAGCAACTCATTTTGATTTCTCAAGCGGGTACGGACACAACCTCAAGTCAATACACCATACTCATCGATAAACTTGCCAACATTTACAGGTTAAATGTCCACAGTGTTCAGGCATTTCTAATAATTTCTGTGTAGATACGTAACACAACCGGAGCCATTAGCAATGATGTTTAGTGGCATGTGGCCAATACTGGAAACCGTTTTTTCACAGTTCGTACATCGTCTATTTTATTTCAGTTCCTGTTAAGTCACCAAATGTTACAGGAAAGCTGCAGACGTTCGTACGATGGAAAGGCTTTGCAGAGCATGCAAATATGCGGTGGGTCGAAACTTTCATTTCTGTGTTAACTCCTGTACTGCGTTGCAACAGGTCAGAAGCTGTGGAAAAGCAATGCTATCTAGCATGGGACCTATGCTTGGAAAAATCCAACACCTGTTTCAGGAACACAATCACCCATGCTTTCTCTATCTTGCTAGTGAAGCTATCAAGGTAACATTTGTTTATAATTTGGTTGCAGCTTAACACGTTTTTTTTTTTTTTTTTTCCTTCCTTTTTTTGCAGGTGTTTGGAGCCGATCCGAATTGTGCTGTATATCTAAGCAATCTTATTTCTGTTTTATTTATGAAAACGCTGAGCTTGTTAAAGAGCATCAAGGTTTGCTTCTCAGTACTTTTCTATCAACTTTTAACGGTTTTGTTTTATATATCTCAGGATTTTACTGAGATGCCAGATTTAGCGGACGATTGCTTCCTATTGGGTTCAAGGTGCATAAGATACTGTCCTCACCTTCTTGTACCGATGGAAGCTGTATTTGGGCCTTTGCTTGACTGCGCAATTACGGGAATAACCATACAGCATCGGTGAGTTTCTTATTCTTGTTTTGATACCTCGTGTGATGCTTTTCTGCAGGGAAGCTTGCAGATCTATCTTGACATTCCTGAAAGATGTCATCGAACTTTGTATTTCACCTGGTGGAAAACCTTTTCAGCTTTATATAGATAACGCTTTACTCCCCCGTGGCCCTGCGTTAACGCGAGTTTTAATAGCAGCACTTGCTGGTGCCCTTCCCACGTCGCGCCTGGACGAGGTAGCTGCTCAGCTGAGTGATGTCATGACTGACGTATGGAACTTTCAGGTGATTAGCGTCATCCTGTCACTCGCACGCTTATACGGCCAGAAAGTTGCCTCCTGGGCACAAGACGCTGCAACGCTGGTTCCTTCGTCCATAGTGACGGACAACGAGAAAGCATCATTTTTGCAGGCTGTATCTCTAGCCGGTTCCGGTGCAGAACAATCTACCGTGACACCCTCTCTGGAAGAAATCTCCGATGTGTGCCGTCGCAGCAAGAAAGTTCAAGAAGCCGTGCAACTTGCTCTTCGACCATCTGAATTAACTCTGTCTCCACTCGCTTGTTGAGGTATTTCACTCTCTGAGCCTTGCATTGCGTGAAAGTCACAGTTTTTTTTCTGCTTGTGATTATCTGGAAAAAGATTTTGTAGTTGTAGAGAGATTGCTTTGTATCATTCTTTTGTGATATAAGATCTGGTCTGTATGAGCAAATTTTCTTTTTCCTTCGTTCTTGTTTCCCTCCTAACCTGCTTGCAGGCAAGAGTAACAAACCATATCTCATTAAAAGAACTGCTGGGATTACTTGGTATCTGTTTTCTAGTCCAAGGCCATTCTTCACAAAGTGCTCAACATCTCTGATATCTACAACTATCAGCTTCTTCAGTACGCAGTGGCAAGTAAAACTGCCGCCATTGATCTTCTCCGCTGGTATTTTTGAGAGCTTCCCAGAAGCAGAGATATCTGTTAACCACGTCCCAGAATTGGCTACAATCAAAAATGCCATCTCCGTCTTCATCTGAGAAGTTCTCCAAGGCGCTGCCGAGCTGGTCCCTCAATAATTTGAGCAGTTCTGGGTAGTATGAGGCTGGCGCCGCGGCGCTCAGCCCCGCCGAGCTTTTACCGGCTGCAGCATCGCGACTTTTGTCTCCGTCGGCCTCCTGAGCTTATCAGTTTTATATGCATTGGCCCCGGCTTCATCCTGGGTATTCAAACTATCGGCCGCCACCTCTTCTTCATCATCGGCAAGAGCGATCACCTGAGTCGGCCCGCATTCAAAACGCTTGGCGAGCTGGAACGTATGATAGACAACGGCACTCCCACCTGGAAGCTCCTCTTTGTGACTACCACTGCACGCATACGCTACTGGTGCAGAGATGGCTTTGTCCCACGTTGACCCGGTGCTCTTTAATGGCGAAGTGACCGAATCCGTGGAAACAGGAGGCGCAGCATGAACACAGACACTGAAGAACCCCGGCTTGAAGCATCGGACAACGCGGTCGATGAGCGCATTCAGGCCGGTTTTTGCTGGATCGTAGCCCATGCACTCGAAGCTGGCATAGCTGAAGCCGTCCTCGGGAGTGATGTGAATTGTGGAGTGAGCTCCATTCTCGAGTCCGTTCATCGAGTAGCCGCAAGGATCAAAGGCGAAGTCGCAGATTTGAGAGCGGGGCAGGATGGAGTTGATACCGGATGCTCTGGTCATGTCCTCACCGGTGACAATGGACGCCGACTTGAAGAAGCTCCTCGCGACGGATTTGTCCAGCTCCGTCATGCAGACCTCGAGCGTGTAGATCGTGTTGCTCGACTTGGACACGGCTTCACCAGCTCGATCAGACTTGCTCTCCGAAGCAACGTAGACATGCCACTTCTGGCGATCGTCGCCCATAACGACGTGCTTGCTGCTGTGGAGGCTTCCAAAGTGCTCGTCCAGTGTGCGGACCTCCTCGTCAAAGTTGTGATGTGGGAAAGGCTGGACTTCGGGGAAGAGAAAGCTGCCCCGCGTATACTTGCAACGTACAACTCGAGCCAGGCCGATGCTAGCAGCCACTGCCAGAAGTTTTGGAAGAGCCTTGAGCAGCCGGGTGGTGCCGCAGGTCTTGATGACGATCCGGTGGGGATAGATGAAGAGGCTCGACTCGGAGAGCACGTATGAATCGAAGTGGCCATTGGAGAGCTGAGAGACGATGGTGCATTCCGCCACATTGAGGAACGAGTCTATCTGATCCCTCGAAAGCGACCGGAGGGACCGAGCGGCTGCTGGGAAGAATTCAACTTCCAGCCGCTTCTCAAAGCCTTCGAATCCAGGAGTTGGCATCGCAGGTTCTTCAAAAGTATCCTTCATTCCTACCATCTCACGTGTGGATATGATGGTTTTGGAAGTGAATCCGATCAGGCGGACGGAGCGCAGGAGTCAGGATGGCCTTCTTACGCACTGTGGAAAGAGAAAAACGTCAGGACGAGGTAAAGGAGCACAAGAAATCCGTTGCAATCTTACGTTGGAGTATGCAGCAGATCGAAACACGTCTGTGAGCCCGTGGGGTCGAATGTCTTCAGCCTTGTAGCCGAGAGGAGCTTCGAAAGTCAGCGATTTACTGTTGCTAGCAAGGGACTCGGCATCCATTTCAGTTGTTGGCAACACCTCTGAAGAGCAGGGCAGCATCAGGACAGAGCATTCTCAAGCCGCAAGCAGGCAGTCAGTGCGTACTATGCAAAGGCCTTCAACAAGAAGAAGAAGAAGAAAAAAAGGAATTTTGCTGGCCACAAGTCACAGCAGGGCCACCGGATGACCAACTCTTATACTGTCGAAAAAGGCGGGGTATTGATATCGAGCATCACAATCTGGAGAGCAAAGTCAGCCAATGAAGGAACCGAGCATTAGGCCTGACCCGTGAGCGGCAGACAAGCCGGAGTTGCGTCTGAGGGATGAGAAGCTGGGAAACTGGGACAGGAGGACGCACGCAGTGGAATGGAATGAAAGGATCTTCCTCGACAGGGAGGAAATGATGAGCAAACAAAATCCGCAGAATGCCTTGGCCGAATCGTCCTTGCCGGGAATTTGCAGCGGAGTAAAGCAGGGACAGGGAGGCGCAAGTGGAGTTGCAGAAAATGAAGAAAAAAAGCGGGGCAGCACTAGAGAGAGCTCGAGCAGCAGCACACAAAGCAGCGCTACTGTTCTATAAAATGGACAAGGGGAGGTGACCAGGAATATGCGGGGGGGGGGAGCTCAAAACGTTCTTCTTTCAAGTTCCACGGGGATTGCCAAGCCTGATGGAAGATGATGGTGAAACGGGGTCCGCTTAGAGACGACGAAGTTGCAATGGCGATGGCAAAGGCGTTGGCAGTGCTAAAGAAGGCACGAAGGCATGCTTTGTTTGCAAAGCAGGGAGTGGGACCGGATGATGGGGGAAAGAATCGCGCATTTGGCAGAGTTATATACCAGGACATTCTTCCGAGGGATGAATCGAAATCGAGAGCACGCCGGGGTGGAGGATATTATTTTCTCTCTACTGGGAGCCACGAATGCGTGGGGAAAGGCAAAGCTGGAATATGTTTGCAGATTGAGATATGGGTGAAGCACTCGCGGAGAGCACGCGTCGTGCTTCTAGGTGAGATTTTGTCACCTTTTTTTTTCTTCTTTGCGCTCTAATTTTCCTCACCACGGACTGACTTCTCAACAGGACACGGGAGCTTGGAAGTTTACGGAGAAATAAGTGAATGTGACACGACAAAGTTTATGCGCTCCTCAAGCAAACAAGCGCAGTGACCGCTGCGGCTGGCCAATGCACAGTCCTCCTCTGGAGCACTCGACGCCACAGACAAGGCCGGTTGCATCACCAACGGAAGATTCGACAGGGCCTCACAGAGAGCGGAAAAGATCTTTGGAGCATAATGCACGGAAAAAATACGAAACAGCAACAAAAAGAAAATCAAAGAATGGGGAATAAGGAGAATATGGGGAACAGAACAAACTGAAGATGGGGGACCGCCATTTGTGATCAATCATGCAGGCTGCGCGTGTGCATTACGTGGGATAGGGGCATGCACGCGTGTGTGCACGATGGAACCAACGAAAGGATTTTAACTCCCGGCCTCTCTTCTACCACTAGGCAGACCACTCTGCGTTTGCGCATGGTAAGTTGGCCTCCTCTTTTCTAAAGCGCAATACAGTTGGAATGACTGACTCGCTGGCTTTTTTTCCCTTGTGGATACAGGATATGCTGCAAGGCTAGCGGGTGACACTGCGTAATGGCTTCCATGTTTGCGGTACATCATGCTGGATATACTGGAGACTTTTAACTTTTGGCTATTGGAAGAGGAGAAAAGCTGTAGGCGAAAGAAAAGGAGCAAAAGAGATGAGGATTGAGCACACTCACGCAGCGCAGAATGTCAACTGGGTGAGAAAATTCAGCGGGGACACGGAATCAAGCTAGGCATGATGTGTTGGGATGGGATTTGACCTGTGCACGACAACGATATACTAGCTCGGGAACAAACTTCTTGGAGAGGGAATTTCAACTCGGAAGCAGACAACAGGTGGTGTCCAAGCAACTCACACAAGTCTCCACTCGCACAAGTCTTCACCGGCATATCTACGTCTATTATACTCGCGAGACAGCGAAAGAAAGCAAGAGTGCATGATCCGGGGCCGAGAACCAAGCAAGCCAAACAAAAGTCACGTAGTCACCAAAGCTCGTATGCACGACCCAAGCAACCAAGTAAGCAAAATGGCATTTGAGACAAACAACTGATGGTGTGTTTACTTACTGCGTGTTGCCAGCCATAGCCATAACTCTGCAAGGCGAGAGAACCGGAAGAAAACGAGAACTCGAAAGAGCTATAGCGAGGAACTTTGAGGATGCTGCTTGCTTCTCTCCCCGGCGCTGCTGCTTGGCAATTTATACTCGTTGCTCCTAGGCAAGTACTGAAGCGTTTCATTGGCTGGCTGGCTGGTCAAACTGAATTTGCTCGATGGTGGGTTTGCAGGCTCCGGGGTTCATAATACGTGATCATGAAGCTGCCTGAGCCGTGTAGCCTTTCTCGGTGGCAAAAAGCTTATCGTTGGAGATCGTTATAGAAGTATACAAGACGCCTTTTTGTCTAGCTCAGCTGTATCATTATCATCATCGCCCATCGCATTGGAAAGCTTGGTATTTTCTAATCGCTCTCTCTCGGTACGTGTTATTTTATTGCAGTTCACTCTTCCTCTCTACCAGATGCAGGTTCGAATCCTTTGGCTGCGCCTCGAAACGTCATCCGACGCATTCCCGCATAAGTTTCGATCACGCGGATCTTGTGGGGTCTTCTGTTCCAATGGATAGGCCAGAACGCGCGAAAGAAAACTCGAGCATTATAGCAGGGAGCACTGCAAATGGAGCGCGTTGCACCCACGAATATAACCATGCTTGTTTTTTATTTCGTTTTTCTCCCGCTCGCATGGTTACTATCTTCGTTTGTGTGCTGTGTGCTGTCTCAAACTGACAAAACAATATCAATTGACTGGGAACTGAAATGAAACGAATGAATGACAAGAGGGGGACAAAAATGTTATCAAATTGTGGGAGCGAGAAACGCATAAGTTTTACACAACCCATAAACATGAGCCCCCAAGGCACGCGCGCATGCAAACCCAAGTTATCACACCACCACCTTGATGATCATTCATTCTTAACTTTGTATAGTCCATGATGTTGGGATATGCATATATTATACATTTGAATGCGAAGGGTGTGTGTCGCCATGCATGCCAGCATGCCACCATGCACGCCCGTACTTTTATACGGCACGCCATGCATGCCCCCATGCACATGATTGATGCGGCCATGCTCACCATCCATCCATGATCCATGCCGGTATGGCTGGCTGGCTGGCTTTCTCATGCCCTATGATTTTGGGCGGGGCACGCGGGGCATGAATGGAAATGTGCTTCCCGGATCATTTCTTCGGCGTCAGCGTTTCGATTCACTTCCACTCCACCACCCCGTCTCTTCTACTTATCATGGCCGTAGGGCCTTACAGTCTATACCATACCAAGCTGGATGGAAATCATCACAACAATCCTTCGTATACGTACTTTTTCCCCTTCTCTTCGCTATGCAGGAACTAAACAGCTTCGGCCGTATTTTAATTCGTCTCTCACTCTATGCATGGACACACGTGTCCCCGCCACCTCGAACTTAGATGATTCGGAAGAATATGCTAGATTCTGATATATGTCTATAATTATCTGGCAAGTCATTAATATTTCTTAATTAGAAAATTCTTAACATTCTTCATTACATGCTAGCTAGAATTATAAAAATAACATAGAAAATTGATTTTTAAAAGCAATCACTGTAAACGTTTATAATTTGCAAACACAAACTTAATATGAGAAAGAATTAGAATTGTGGCTAAAATGAATATCTACTCATTAGTTTCTGGTTACCTTAATTAGAACATGATTAGTATATCTGTAAAAAAAAGTAATTTAGAGTAAGTTATTGTTTAAATTATAAAATATAGAAAATATATAGATGACTTTTAACATGGTGGTTATTGAAAAACAAACTTACTTAACAACATAATATGCTAGAATTTTCTGTGAAGACTAATTGTAGAGTTGGGATTGGCATCAATGTCATCACAAGCACCATATCCATGTCTACAACCCTTGCCACAAAATTCAATACCTCTACCACAATACTTCTATTGGCTGCAACACTGGTCACGATTACAATAGTAAAAGCTTTTGTCATTTAGGAGGCCACAACATGGTTGTGAGCATGGTTGGCTCTGGGTAACAAGCACTAACATTGAAAAACACACTAAATGTACTACCATTATTAAATTGCTATGGAGCCTCCTAGAAGCCATATTTTCAATATATTTTCAAATATGGTAGTGGTATTTATTGAAGATTTTCAATCTTGTTGAACATGACTTTGTTCAATGACAAAATCGATACAATTTTAGCATTCATTGCCAAAATGTTTTTGGCATACTGGGGGTCTTCTTGTTAAAGTTTTTTGTTTTTTTGTTTTTTTCTGTCAAAGTGAGTCAAAGATAAAGAATTCTGCTAATTCCTTGTTTGTATTTATATTTATAAATTAGTATTTGATAAATAAATAAATAAATATCTATAATTTATTGTTATTTACAAGGAAGATTATTAAATATGAAGCTTTCTTTCATTATACTTTTCCATTAAAAAATTTTATATTTAAAATGTACATCCTTCACCTTCTAATGTAAGATAAATCCCTAATTTTTCTAAAGGTTTTGAAACATAAACTATATTTCTCTTATAGTAGATACAAATATTTTAAGTTACAAGTTTCATGTTTTACATAGTTTAATTTTACAATAGTACCTTTAAGAATTGTTCCATAGTGAGTTTATTCTTAATCTTTTTGTGGAAAAACGTTTGTGTGTCAATTCTTTTGTTTAGTTGGTGTTACTATGGTGTCTTATGTCAAAAGTGTGGATTGAATTTTCTTGCAGAAAAGCAAAAGGTTCATGATTTTTGGGCACAAGAAATACCATATCAAAGGGAGTTTGATTAATACATTTTAGTGATTGTAGCACTTAAAAAGATTTTGGCTAGTAAATTGAGTAATTAAATCTTTGATTGTAGCAATTGGTATATTCTAAGACAAAAACAGAATATCACATTCCGTTAGAATGAAGAATATCCTAGAATATGGCAAATACAGGAACAGTGACCATACCCACGTTTGCTACCATTGCCACAATAATCAGCCCCCACACTCCAACAATGAGAATTGCAATAGTGTCATCCAAGACGCCACAACATGGCGTTTAGCAGGACTGAGAGTGGATGACAAGCACTAAGGTTTGCATCACTCATTTTGGTTCTCCTATCTGAAACGCTAGCTACTTATTCTTCTAGTTTAATTGCGTCCGCCCACTTGGATAGACTTTCCCAGGTCCGCCCACAGATTTTGCGCCATTCTCCCACCTACATGCCATTTGGCAAAGTTCAAACAACACAAACCCCTTCTTATCGCTTTATGTTGTAAATACTTCTTTGTCACTTATTTTATGGATCAGTGCACGTTAAGTTTGTGAAGCTTTTGCATGTAGTTTATTTCATCTCATCTGTTACGTGTAGAATACTAGAAAGACAAGGATGATCAAGAGGATGACCAAGGCCGCCACCATGGCCAGTTGCCCTTTAGATCCGGCCTTTCTTATTACATGCTCCAGCTTTTTCTGCAAGGATCCAGCAAAACCTTGAGAGATCCAAACGATTATTATTTAAGCATTGTTAGTTTGATTTTTTTGACCTGGACATAGGCGAGCTTGCTAGAGGTGCTGTCAACATCATGCTGCAACTCATCGATCATACCCTCCTGAATTTTAAAAAAGAAATCAGCTCTGTCAATCGCCAAGCACTTCGTAATTTTTTTTTACCTGACCTGTTGAGAGAGCTCCTCGTGGATGGTCGCTCCAACTCCACCGATTTTCTCAAGGCTCGTGCTGATGTCGTCCAAGTCTTGATCCTGCTCCCTGGTTCAAGCATCATTTAGACAAAAAGGAGACGAGGGCACAAAGAAAAGCTTTTAAACGATTTCTTACCGCATTAGAAGGCTCTGTCTGTCCGACTCGGAAGCAATGTAGTCATCGTTGTGCTGTGAATAATCCGAGGCCTGCTTTTGAGTTGGAGGAGGAGCTCCAAATCGAGCACCGCCCATTGGAGCAGCAGCTTGGGCCTTTTGCACGGCATCTTGAGCAGCAGCTTTTATGCCACCAATCTTAATAAACACAGGCCCAAGCTCTCAAAAAGAAGAAGTTTTTTAAGTTTCTCAAAGCTCTCACCCTGGATCTGGTTTGAGTCGTCCATCTCCTTCTCTGCTCGATCTCGGCCGGCCCAACTCGAAACTTGGCGGGATTCCTCTCTGCAACAGTTATCGCTCGGTCAAGCTCATCCACCTTCCAAGCCAAACAAAATTCCACACAGACTAAAAACCCCTCTTAAACCCTCTTGCCAAGGCAAATCGCAAATCCCATACCTGTCTCTCGATGCTCCCACACTTCTCAACCAGCTGCTTGGCAATCCCATCGCGTTCCAGCGATGCCGGAAGCCCCTGCCATCTCAAATAGCTCGAATTCAATCCGCCCACCTGGATCACAAATCCGATCAAACAAAACGCTAGAATCAAGCGTTTGCCTCACCAATTCATCCAGCTGATCCTTAATGTAGTAAAACGGATCCTGGGCCGACAAGGACATGGTGGAAAGCGAGCCCCACAAAAACCCTAACCGTCTAGTGCCGAGATCCGACGGCCAGCGTTTGAGCTCTTGGTTGCACGCGCAATCCAACGGCCAGCACTTAGTTTTACACGAGGAGTCCCACGAAACAAATCTTGTGAGGTGAAAAGCACTAGCCGCCTCGCTCTCTCTTCGCTCCTTCATGCCCAATCCAGCAGCAGTAGCTCCAATTCTCTTCTTCTTCTTCTTCTTCTTTCTCCTTCTTTGTTCCTGGCATTAGTTTCGCTACAAAAATCGCTCTAGCTTGCTTTTTCTTATGTCGACATGGTGTCGTCGCACGCCTTGAGAGCTTCGCTTGCGAAGTACCTCACGTCGACGTCTGGATCCTCGTTTAGTTCCTGTAGGGTGGGTCTTATGGTTTGATCCACCACCTGAAGTTTGGAAAAGAGATTAGCAGCTTCTCACAAGCTCTCTCAAAGCTTACCGAGGCATCCACAGTCGGGATCAAGGACTTTAGCACCTTGGCCACGTTAAATTTTATGTTAGGGACCCTGGCATGGCACACACAAGTTATCCAAAGGCTAAAAACAAAATGGAAAAAATTCAAGCACCTGTCTTTTGATGCATTGATAACCACCGGCAGCAATGTCTGGCATGTAACCTCGCCCCCAACAACTGGAGCTAATAAAGAAATGGCATGTAAAATCGTCATCCTGTACAAATAGTGAGGATTGTTAATCATGTTGATCACCTGTGAGAGAGGAGCGAGTGTCAGGACCACTACTCAAAACAAAAAACCTCTCACCTGCGGAAGTATGTGTTGGCAAGTCCACTCAGGACCAAATTCTTCCGCTAAGCGTTTAAGATTGTTCGCGGCAGCTTCCCTGATTGAAAACACCTACAGCAGTTCGTTTTATCACCAGATGAATTGCAAATACAAGCACAGTACCTGATCCCCAAGCCATTGCATACACAAAGAACCAAGTTTATCGTCAAAAACTTCCACTCCCAACTGGCTTGCAAGGAGAGGGATGTACTCTATAATCGCAAGCCGTACTCTCCAGTGTCTGTCTTCGGCCAGCTCCAGTAAAGACTGAGAAAGCAAGTCTATACCTATGACCTGCATACTCCGCTTGTCAGCTTTGAAAGTAGAATTTTTTTGGACGCACCTGGTTAACTTGATCAAGCTTGCTCATAATACTCAACCGCACATCAGGAAACTCATCTTTCAATAGCGCCAGAAATGTCGGTAGAAGCTGCTCAATAGTCACCTCCTGCACAAAGAGACGAACCATCAACATGCTGGCATTGTCCTTCCTCTGTTTGAATCCAAACTTCTATTACCTTTCCTAGTACTGGAGCCATACCCATAATCACTGATGCCAGTGCAGCTCGAACGTGCTGCGATGAATCGATTGCCAAGTCCTGCACTTATTCCAAACACAGTGTTAATTTTTCTAAACCTCGTAAAGAGTGTTCCATACCTTGACACAGGGAAGAATTTGCTGCGTTGCTAGTTGCGGGCTGATTATACGACAAAACTTGGTCACCTTGCCCGCGGCCGCGATGCGCACTTCCGCCTCATTGTCACGCAAAAGTCTCACGTAAGCTGGAACGAGTTCGGTCCTTTGAAAGAAAACGTCGTCAGGCCCTCAATGCTCTCAGAATAATGTGATGCAACTACCTCGTAGCCTCCGCACCTACTGCTTCGCAAAGCTCGTAGAGCTGATTAGCAACCATAAAGCGTACACGCCAGGACTTATCCTGATAATAAAAGGCAGCACGTCAGTTCTCAGGTTACGAGTTGAAGAGCTTTTAGATTCACCTGAGAAAAACTAACAATAACTGGAAGAATATTGGCTATGCAATCTTGAGGCTCAAGTAGCTTGCCCAACGCAGCACAGCCTTCTACCGCCGAAAGTCTCAGTGAATCTTGATCTACAAAACAAAGTCCCACAGCGCTTCAAACCAGTTTACAGCCAGTCACTCGTACACACTTACCATCTTGTGTGAGGTCTTTGAAAAACGACATTATATCAGATTTCAGATGAGCCGGCTCCACGGTGGCTGCAAACTTTGCCAGATTCGAAGCCGCCGACCGCCTCACCATGGGCAGATCATCGTGGCAGAGATGATTGTAAACAGATCTCAACTCCGACCGCGTTGCTTCTGGAGCACTCGGGTACGCTACATGGAACAAGCAGCAAGCTGAGATGCGAGAGGTAAACCACTCGTCCGCCCCGAGTCTCTGCAAGAATCACAAACCAGAGAATTGAGACAAAGGTAGAAGAACTCTCGAGCAGGGCTTACCTTGACGAGAGGGATAAACCAATCCACCAAGTCCTTTTCTTTCATCTGAGACCCAATCCGGCAAAGCGACTCCACAGCCTTCTCGCGAACAATGGTCTCGTCCACAGTGCACAGCGTCTCGAGCGGCGGGAGGAGCACATAGGCGTAGTCGACGCCACCAACATATGGGATAAACGCCCCGAGCTCCTCCGCCATAGCCAGGAGCACCTCGTCGTCGTCGTCGTTGTTCTCACTGAGAAAGGGAATGAGCTCTTTCCGGGTGCGCTCCTCGCCCAGAGCCCTGGCAATGGTGGAGAGGCGGCGGATGGAGTTGAGGCGGAGATGGATGTCCTCGTTCTTGAGCTCATCGATGAGAATGGCGATCGGATAGAGCGGCTCGTCTACCATAGCTGCAGCCATGCGGCGGCGAGGGAGAATGCCGCCCCCTGCTGGGCTAAGCCTATCTAGCGATTTACCTCCACGCCGTGATCTCGATCTCCCCCCTCCCCGATCGCGTCCCACAAACCCTAGCGCCTTGGGGGATCTACAGGCAACGAAGAAATATACATTTGCCCAAAGCAAATGAGATCAGTAGCATAAACCCTAAAATGCGTAAATTTAAACCCTAAAAGTGGGTTTCCAGGGTTTGCGGATGGGAGGAGGCCGGGCGTGGCGGGCGGAGAAGCTCAAGCAAAATCGCGAGAGGAAGAAGGATGCCAAGAAGAATGCGAGGCCGCCGAAGAAGAATTCCAGCAAGGCCTCCAGGTCCGTGCAAGAGATTGCGGAGCTTGATGCTAGAATAGAGGCCGGAGCGCCGCGATCGGGCTCCAATCCTCTCGGGGAGAAGCTCGATGAGAGTCCAGGGGCTGGAGGGTTCAAGCCCTACGCCGGCGCCACGCTGTTCCAGCAGCTGCCTCTCTCGCGGCTCACATTGGATGGTCTCAAGGACGCCAAGTATGTGACTATGACCGACATCCAAAGGGCAGCTCTTCCACACGCACTGTGTGGGAGGGACATTCTCGGGGCAGCCAAGACGGGGTCGGGAAAAACGCTAGCGTTTCTCATTCCAGTTAAGCTGATCGTTTCTTCTTTCTCTTCTTTTCTTTCCTTCAAGCCGTTCACTCCATTCTCTTTTCCATTGATCGTGATCGTCGGGCTTGCAATGCAGGTGATTGAGAAGCTCTACCGTCTACGATGGACCTCCATGGATGGCGTTGGTGCGCTTATCATATCTCCCACTCGCGAGCTCGCGATGCAAATCTTTGACGAGCTTCGCAAAGTTGGCAAATTCCACGACCTTAGCGGGGGCCTGTTGATAGGAGGAAGAAAGGACGTGAGCATTGAGAAGCAGAGTGTCAATGGCCTCAACATTCTCGTCTGCACGCCCGGGCGCTTGCTTCAACACATGCACGAGACTGTGAATTTCGATTGCTCCCCGCTCAAGGTATGCGATCCATTCCTTTTCCATTGAAAAATTCAATCTTTAATCCTTATCTTCTTAAGCTGCTGGTGTTGGATGAAGCTGACCGCATCTTGGATATGGGATTTGCCGGGACTCTCAACCAGATCATTGCTCAGATTCCAAAGGAGCGTCAAACTTTTTTGTTCTCGGCTACACAGACACGGTCAGTCCAGGATCTTGCGAGGCTTAGCTTGCAGTCCCCCGAGTACTTGGCCGTGCATGCCGAGTCTGCTGTAGCAACACCTGCGCGACTCCAACAAACTGTCATGGTTGTTCCCTTGGATCAAAAGATCGATACGCTTTGGAGTTTCATCAAATCTCACCTTCGAGCAAAAGTTCTTGTGTTTCTTTCCAGTTGCAAGCAGGTATCTTCTTACTTTTTTTTTTCTTGAATTCTTACAAACCGCGAGTGTTATTACCAGGTGAAGTTCGTATATGAGGCATTCAAGCATCTCCGGCCTGGAGTTCCTCTCACCTGCTTACATGGACGCTTGAAGCAGGGTGGCAGATTAGATGCCTTTTACAAGTTTGTGGAAGCAGAGTACGCGGTTATGTTTGCAACCGATATCGCTGCGAGAGGACTGGATTTTCCGACAGTTGATTGGGTTGTTCAGGTAAAAGCTGCTATTTGTTTTTCCCTCGACAGGTGCCAATCACTTTGACTTTAGGCCGACTGTCCCGAAGACGTTGCGACGTATATCCATCGTGTTGGTAGAACTGCCCGCTACAAAGCTTCAGGCCGCTCCCTACTTCTATTGTCTCCGTCAGAAACAAAAATGGTGGCCTTACTCGAGGAAGCGAAGATCCCGATTAAAGTTTTGAAGGTAATCTGGTGTTTAACAATGTTGTCCTGATCGAATATGTTGATTTGTTGCAGCCGAATGAAAAGAAGATCCAGTCCGTGTCACAACTGATTTCGGGACTTCTTTCAAAGAATGCTGATCTCAAGTACATGGCTCAACGTGCTTTCACGACATATCTACGATCGGTTTATTTACAAGGCAATAAAGAGGTCTTTGACGTCCACAAGCTTCCCATACCTGAATATGCGGCATCATTGGGCTTGCCATCAGTCCCTCGAGTTCGGTTTCTTGGGAAAGGGCAGAGTAGCGCCGGGAAAAATGTGTGCTATGCTCTCAAAATGCCTGAGGCAGAACACAAGACTGACCAAGACGACAACCGTCCCGTGAAGGACGACGATGAGCCCTTCTTCCAAAAGAAGCGACCAAGAGAGGAACGGAACAACGATGAGCCCAAGAAGCGACCAAGAGACGAACTTGAGGCAGGCGATACTGCTATGAGGTAAAATTTTGATTCTCTCTTTTCCATACATGGAGTTTTTGTTTTTGTTTAGGCCAAAACCGCAGAAGTCGAAAAAGATGAAGCTTAAGATTGATTTGAAGACAACCGGATCTCACCGCCTGGTTTTTGATGACGATGGAAATGCTGGGCCTCCGCTGTCCACACTAGCCAAGGAGCAAGTAACAGGTACAGTTCTTCCTCTTTTATTTTAACTTGTCTGACATTCCTCTTTACGTGAAGGTGTAGAGGAAGATATTGTTGCTGTTACCCAAGCGCGGTATAAGAGATTGGAGCAAGAGATGAAGAAAAGAGACAAGGAGGACAGGCTGCTAGATCGACAGAGACTGCGTGACAAAAGGCACAAGCAGAAGGCGAAGTTACAGAAAGCTATGGATGATACAGATCAAGAGCAAGCTCCGCGTTTGGCAGTTTCTAACAGTGACTACTCGGACGAAGACAACGTCAACGGTGATATGAAGGAATCCTCGCAAATGGAGCTTGACTCCATGTCACTGGCAGATCAAGAGGCTTTGGCACTTCAGTTCCTACGCTCCCAGCGCTGACCTTACAAAACCTTTTCAGGCTCGAAGTAGACAACCAGCCGCGAACATAAACAAAAGCCAGCTATGAACCTCCCCCAACTTTGATGTTCTCTGACTTCTTACAAGCAATAGATCGCAAGCACCATATGAAGCATAGTCGATACTAGACGCTGGCAAGGACGCTCTCATACCTCCACGAAGGTACTTACATAATGTCTAGACCCATTCTCCGATGCGTTAAAGTGGGCAATGTCAGATCATAAGTTGCTACACCTGTGAAAGAAGGAAAGTGTGAAGTTACATATAACTTGCCTGTATATAATGCTGTAACCAGAATATGTAGCCAAGCTGCACATATTTCGATGTTAAGTTCAGTTACTGTAACTATAAGTTAATTATTTTAAATACAAATATATCTACAACAACGTTTTAAATGGAGGAATAAATTTAAAATGTTGTTTTTAACTTACACTCTTTAAAGTACTTAATAAACATTCTAAATTATCAACTGCTTATTTATTCATAAGAAAAAATTAATAAAGATTTTTAAAAATGAAGTAAATAACAATGCAGTTGATTATAAAATTTGGTGCTTTGCTTTCTTTATATAAATAATTTTTAAAGAAAATTGTAATAACCATTAAGTAATTTTACTTTTTAAATTTATTATACATAAAATATTTTTTCCATTTTTTTGCTATAAAAAGCCTGTAATTGTAATGAATATACCCTAAATTTTGTTTTGGCTTAACCAAATCTATAAGGGACTAAGTAGATATATTTAAAATATACTTAAATATTCTAGGATATCCTATTATTTAATGGTTAAACATTTTTTGAACACTTTCTAGTATGTTTTATTTATTCTAATGGTTATATACAATAAAATTAATCTTGTATTTATAAAAATATAAATATTTTTATAATTATAAACTTATATTTCATCAATTAGATTAATAAATAAAAGAAAAACTACTGCATGTAACACACAAAAAATTATTCTCTAATCTTCTGGTAATAAAGATTTTATATATATATATATATATATATTATCACTAATATAGGCTGTGTTTGTTAAATAAATTTCAAAGTGTATTTGGATGTGGTTTATTAATATAATGCATTTAATCATATTATGAAATTTAAATATATTATCACTATGGATTTTTAAAACCTTCTTGTTCTCCCCAACCATAACATGATAGTGGTGGATGAGTATAGCAAATCCTACATCATAAACACCATCTTTTAGCTGTGTACAGCTTATGGAATGGTTGTGACTCGACAACACTAAATGAAATATAAAAAGTTTTAAGGGGAACACAAACTTTAGGGATAAAATAATTATAATTTTTTTTTAATACACAATAAAGAGAAAAAAAATAAAGTGCATTATATTTGGTATCAAAGAAAGGTTTAATTTTTACTGATTAGTGCCTATTTAACATAGAATATATCTTTAACTAAAATATATTTCTACCCTTAAAAATTGAAATCATACATATTAAATATCCATGAATATATTCTTTGTTTTTTCTTCACCTTAAATTAGTAGATTCAGTAAATTATATATATATATATTAATATATTGGAAAAATAATAATTAGTGAAATTGTTCTATATAACTTCTGATAGCATGTAACTTGAGAGCATATTGTGGAGTTAGAATCTCACATTAGGTTAATTTATCAAACTATTCTAAACTAAAAATATTATTGATGCTCTTCATTTATTTTAGAATTAATTTAGAGTGTATATATAGGTTTTTTCAATTGTTTTAAAATTTTATATTTAAAAAATTTCTTCATTAAAAAGCATTGATATTCTTTTTTTGTTTATAGTATTGCTAGTGGTGAAAAAAATACTAATACTATAATGCTACCACTTATTATTATTAATATTTTACAATATTTATTTTTTCTAAAACTCTCTCAAGCCTGCTTTTGTCATGCTTGTATTCCTTGCCATGCTCGGCTTTAGGTCAGGTTTAATTCCTTTAAATAGGCATCACGCATAAGCGATGATGACAGCCTCCCTGATGGTACGTTGAGCTTCAGAGGCATGATGCTCTTTGTTTTGTATGCTGGTGATGATGTGAAAGACGATGAGATTGGGATCTGTCCAAGGCGACCGTGGAGATATGACTATGCCAAAGGGTGCTTATTGACCAGGCAATCCTGGCATTTGATCAACTTGAGCTCAACGAGCGAGAATACGTTGCCTTGTATACTTGGCTCCATCTGAAATCACTAACTAAAACTAGATTCAGTGGAATGGTCTGGGAAAAATGAATAAACCTTGGGAATTTTGCTTTATTGGTTTTCTGTACTGTGTTTTCACCTTGGACACTGCTCAATGGTAAAGTGTTCATAGTTCAGAGAGAAACAGGTAATTCATGCAAGTGTTCCATATTTTAACTAAGCTACTCCTAATTTTTTTTGTATTTTCTTTAATTTGTATCAGTACATTAAACTATATAGCTATGCATGCACGGACGACAAAGACTACCTCCGCATGCTGAAACGGGGACGGCCGGGCTCAGGCTCGCCTTTAAGCCGGACCAGCGTGTAAGCAGCGGCTCCAGCTAAAGCACCAAATATTGGACCGACAATGTAGAGCCAGATGCCTTTGTAATTGTTGGCAGCAATCGCGGGTCCAAGAGTACGAACCGGATTCATGGAAGCACCCGAGGTGGATCTGCGTGAGATATGGAACCATTTAGTGAGTGTCGTTCTAGAATCACTTGAGTTACTCTGGACTTTTACCCTGCAATGAGGATGTTGAGCATGACAGTTGCTCCTACGGCGATCCCCGCAAGCTCCCCCACCTTTGAGATATTAATGGATTGATAATCAGCAGAAAGACATCGAGCAATAATAACGGGGAAAAAGATCAGTGCTACTTACGGCCCGTGAGTCTGTGGCCACGGCAGTGACGACGAACATGAGGTTGAAGGAGATGATAAACTCGAGAACAAAAGACTCCCAGTAGCTTCCAGACGGGATCGTGACGCCGCCATGCATGAAAGGATTAAAGATGCCCTTGAGCGCAAACGCGGCACAGATGGACGCCGCGACCTGGGCACCGATGTAGAGAGGAACCTGTCCCGCGCGATCGACAAAAGCTCGAGAAAGAGACCAAAAAGAATGAGAAAGAATGTACCTCAACCCAAGGGAAGTGGCGGAGTGCTGCGAAGGAGAGCGTGAGCGAGGGATTGAGATGAGCTCCCGAGATATGGCCGGTGGCAAGGATGACGATCATGACCGCGAGGCCCGAGGTGGCGGCCAGTCCCACAGTGGTGATGCTCCCGGAAGTCTTCTCGTTGACAATGGCGGTGGCTGTCCCGGCGAAGATGAGCATGAAGGTGCCAATGAACTCTGCTCCAATCTACAAGAACAACAAAACCTTGTCCAGATCTCTAGATCTCCAAAAATCACGATGCAACGAAAAATCAGCTCTTCTATGCAATGTAGCAGCGAGAGAGGATGGATGGAACAGTCGCCAAGCAGCAAAAGATGGCAAGAAATGGTACCTTTTTGCGGCGCGAAATTGAGGAAGGGGCGATGGCGGCCTGGAATTCGCTGAAGAGTCCGTCCTCCATGACGCAGCTGTCGACCGGGAAGCATTTGTTGATCCGCCCCGAGCGTCCAAAGCTGGTGGAAACGTTGGAAATGCGATCCGGCGCCATTATGTACACGGGGCCGACGCCATTGCTGTTGCTGCCAGGGACAATCTGCGCAGTAACCGGAGCATTCGCATTCCCAGTCCCAGTCGCAGCGCTATTGACGAGATTTCCTTGTTGTTCTTCGTCCGCCATAGCTAGCAAAAAAAAAAAATCTTTTTTTTCCTGTTTTTTTTTTTTTCTTTGTTGTTGCTCGATGAGCTAGTGGTGATTCAAGAGAACCCCATCATCCGAGCAGGATTTTCTTCTTTTTTTTGGAAAAGATTTTGGAAAGGTCGGGAGAAGTGGAAAGAGGAGAGCTTTACATGATTGACAGACTTTTTTAGAGATGGGATCAAGGAAGCAGGAGAATGGCTGTCGCGGAATCCAGAGCTAGCGTCGAATCAGAGCTTGGTCGTCGTCGTCGCTAGTGGCATCAATCGATGGAAAACACCTGCGCGAGAAGCACCATTGAATCAAATCCAAAAGACTCAAAGCAAGAATGAAATAGAGGAATACCGCTGAGAGAGCTCGATGGATCAAAGTGCCGCACAACCGCTCAAAGCCAAGCCCTAATGCCGAGAAGACAATGACGAGAGCTTTAAGAAAGAGCTGCGTGGCTGTGTGATTGATTCCAGGTGAAAAGTAAACGCGCTAGTTGGCTGTCTGAGAGCACAAAATTTTACTTCAAAACACTTAACTTCGCGGTGATCGTGCGCGAAGCCATCTCGCGTCAACTGTAGGAAGGAAATGTAAGTTTATTGCAGGCTCTAGAATACTCGTTTTTCCTCTTTTTTACCATGCACGTCTCAATGGGTCAACTTGATGATGTTAATATTGTAATTATCATGATTATTAAGCTCAATGAAATGCTTGTTTTTCCGTGCAGCTGTGAATCTTCCAGCCTAAAGCAGAGCGCCATGCAGCAGAGCTAGCTAGGACGCTAATGTATATATATATTTGGGTGTCAGCAAGAACAGCGCGTATAGCTAGACAAAATTCTTTCAAACTGCTCATCTCTAATTGATAGGATTTTAATTTCTTCTAAATTCTCAAATTCTTGTGACAAAATCGGGGCATATTCCGTGGGGTTTGAAAATGGTGGCTTTTGTCGGTTGGCTGTTTGTCCAATCATTTGTCCTTTTCTGCCCACGCATTCAATGCATCGATCGAGTTTTCTCATCCTTTTCGTATTGATTGCTTCTTTGGAGCCTGCAAAAACGAAACACCACATGGAGTCTACAACCACAAAGGCGAGCTAGCAGCGGCAGTATGGTGGGCTTTTCTCGCGTAGCTGGGCAGTCGCGAATATGTTTAGTCGGGCCTCAGGAATAAGAAATGGACAAACGAGCGAAAGGGAAACGAAGAATCCCATGTTTGGTGAACCAAAACGTTTTGGTTGATGCTGGTGCTGCTTCCACTCAATCAAGAGCACAAAAGAAAACGTTTGTGTTATTGGCGGTACAAGCACACGCGGCCACCGCAGGAAATTTCCGCTGGAGACCTGGTGAATGAATCGACAGCAACGGGTTTAGCTTTTCCTGTAAGTAAAAGGGACGTACTTGAAAGCGAGCGAAGAAACGAAAGCAAAGCAGTCCAAGATCTTGACAGACCAAAGATCATATCACAGAGAATCCGCATTAGTCTAGGGCTCCAAGACTTCAAAAAGACGCAAAGCAAATCAATCCAACAAAGACAACGATTGACACAAAAATCCCAGCGATGCACGAAAGCACAAAGAAAGTGACGAAATCATTCGAGCAGACACAGAAGATGGCGTTTGTCGAGAACAATAAACAAACTTTTCAAGAGAAACGACCCAAAACAAAAGTCCAGTACTTCGCAACGAAACAAGCACTGGAAAAAAAGCAAACGAGCACAAAATCTACATTTATTTGCCACGAAGAAATCACGTCCAAAACTAGTATGAGAAAATGTGGATGAGCATTTTTTTTTGAAAATTTCTAACCTGTTTATGCTGGCTTTGGAACTTGCCCTCCACTTTGCTGCCGCTGCAATTCCTTTTGATTCCTCTCATACTCCTCCACGGCCTTTTGCAGCTCATCCGACGATCCTACCGCATGGATCGTGTAGGCGTAGACGCCCGCCACGAAGCACAAGAGCCCTCCAGCCATGGCCCAATTCTTTACCCGCAAATTCTTGCCATAATGCTTGTAGTGCTCTGTGGGATTCGCATTCAGCCATGGCTCCTCCGCCTCCTTGGCCACGGACGACGCCGCGGCCGCGGCCTCTTTCTTCACGGCGCTCGCGCCTCCCGCCATGAGCAAAAACCCTATCCTTGCTTAAACCCTAAAACACGTCAGCTCCACATGTCACTATATCTTTTGCCAAACTGGCGAAAAGAAAGGATACACGTCAGACAGATGCCAGCCGTTGGATGTTTATGGGACGAGCGTACGATTGGCTGCCGTTGAAAAACTTGGCGCCAAGGAGGACGTTTACCGCCTCGGTTGGGTGAAAAGCGTCCCAGAATACGTAGCTGCTACGAGTTTTGCATACGGTCGATATGAGCGGATAGCACGGCAACTGGGCGTTGAATTTCCCAGCTCCACAGCAACCACTGTTGACGTTCTCAAAGCCTGGACAACGAGAAAATATGATCCTTGAAAAAAAAAACCAGTAGAAGAACTTAGAAGTCTTACCGAATGACGATGGAGCATGGATGATCTCGAGGAGAGCTCGGTAAGCATCGGTATAGATGAGCTTCGCTCCTCTCAGCTTTGAATTCATCCTTTTGATGCTTTTCCTGAGAGCCAAGTTATACCTGGTTACCATATGATTGACAGACTCCACGCATTCTCCAGTAGAGTTTCTCCTGTTTAGCTCGGACGGGATGCAACCCAGCGGGCCTAGTCCCGACACGACGAACTTTCTTGCTCCCATGGAATAGAGGGTCTGTTTCATCCAAGTTTTGGTTAAGAGAGAAGCAAAAGTACGCTTACCATAAAATTGTTCTCCAGTGAAGAGATGAGTACTTCTCGATATTCTCTGGTTGTGTAACGCGAGCGAGTGGTGCTGTTGATGTAGTAATTGTTGATGTAATCGTTGCTGCCGATTACAATCGCAAACATCGAGTCGGAGACGTGCTTGGTGGCGTTGGCGACGCCGAGCTGTTTGCGGATCGCGTCGAGAGTGACGTTAAAGTGCTGGAGCTGCTTTAGCAATGGCATGTTGTCGATCTGGAAATCGCAGAGAAAAAGAAAGTCTCTTAGAAAACAACCACGCAGAAAAACGTCTACGAGCTTACGTAGTTTCTACCGCTGGATGCGAGTATGCCACCGGCAGCCGACGCGTAGTTTACTCCCGTTAAGATGATTGGTCCCGTCGTCGTCGGAGCGAGAGACGGAGGCGGATATGGAAGAGCAACGAAGTCGCCTGTAAGAAAGAAGAAAAAAAGTCTCGAAGAAGAAAAGAAAGAGAAAGAAAATCTCGAACTTACACAAAACGTCAATGATCGTCTTCCCGTTGCAGAACCTCCCAGTCGGGCCAGTCGGGAAGTCGATGCCATTGGGAGGCATATCAGCTCGAGCGAGAGTCAAGAAGAAGTTATTGTTCCCATTGTCAGCGAGTGAATCCCCGAAAACGAAGATAGCTGGGAACAATCTCTTCTTCTCAACCCCTTGCGCTGCCTGAGCCGAAAGTAGCACGATGGCTGCGGCAAGAAGACGATGGAGAGGAGCAGCCATTGCTGGTTGAGAAATGTGACGATCCCCATTACCCGAGCTTTTATATGGAACATCCACCGCCTAAGTTGCGGTTGACAGGACGCGAACGTATGTAACGTTTGATGATATTTTCACTTTCGTTGGACAGGACTATGCTAGTTCCTTTGAACAGCGCAAGTCCTGCCTTTCTCTTGTTGCTCCGACGAAGATTGTTGGCGCCAGTTCCTGGGCCATACTCAAACTCGTCGTTGTCGCTTCCTGAGAACCTGAGCTATCAGCTTTGGCCATCTTTTGCTGGATGTATTCCCTCAAAAGATTGGACCTCAATTTGCCATGCCGATCCTGCCATTCGAAAAGTTGTAGCTCATTGTAACTTTAGATGAATTACCTTCTTACGAAGAGCAGCATGCCAATGGTTTTTTATTGAGTTGTCAGTTCTTCCAGGTAGCATCTGGAATTTATAGACAAAACATCAGTATAAGTTGAACAAGTCTGTAGAAAGCTTTTGCTTACCTTCGCTATGGCGGACCACTTATTTCCAAAGTAAGAGTGCGCTTGAACTAGCAGCTCTTCCTCTTCCTTTGTCCACCCTTCCTTTCTAATATCCGGTTGGAGATGATTCACCCATCGCTCTCTGCATTGTTTTCCAGAGCGATCTGTGAAACAAGCCCCCCAAGTTCACTTCAGTCCCACGTAGTGTTCATCCCCAGCCCCAGCTTTCTTATGTTTTACCTCACTTCTTCATAAATCCAAAGAGGCATTGCTAACAGTGAAACTCACTCGCCATGAACGTCGAGATGAGCGACCAGCGTCGCGTGCCATACTGCTTGACGAGCTTCACGAGTGACTTATCCTCGGCTAAGCTCCACTGCCCCTTGACACGGTTCCTCTGGCCTCCCATCTCTTGTAAAGGACCGCAGAGCTGAGATATAGTACTCTGCGGCGAAGCGACGTCGCCTTGAGTAGCAACAGTAGCAGACTGCTCGCCAAAGAGCCGGGAGGAATTCGAGGCCGAGGTATTTTCTGCCACCCCTTGACACGGAGGTGGTGGGACGCCCGACCATTTCAAAGTTCCATCGTTTCGTTGCTTCGTCCACTGCTGGCTCGTCATCGTCGTTGGATTGAACTGAGGCTTGGCTTGGAGCATGGGTATTCCCAACGCCGGAAGAAGGTGCTGCCGAGCGGACAGATTCATAGGAATGTCTGCTTGTGGCGCTCTTGACTGGCACAACAAGCAGCTATCCATTCCAGGAAACTTTGCGACGAGCGGTTCTTCTCCAGCTCCAGAACACCTCGGCTGCTGCTGCTGGTGATGGTGGTGGAGGTGCTGCTGCTGCTGCTGCGGCTCACAACTTCCAGGAATCGAGAGCTTCTGTGGGATCAGCTTCGCTGATGGATTACAAGCCGCAGGAACCTGGAAGCTGGGAAATCTCGCCACGGAGCAAGGTGGTGGTGGTGGTGGTGGCAGGAGGTGGTGGAAAAAAGGATTGTCGCAAGACGATGGTGGATGCCCCATGACGTGATGAGCTGGAGTTTGATGGTTGACACTGGCATCCGCGGAGGGGGTCTCTTTGCAGTAGAAGTTGCCACCTCCGGTTACCTGGGGATGTCCGTGAAAGCTCTCATCGCACAGGAAGTTCCCGAGTAAGTTGCTGTGAAACAATGTCGACAGAAACTGGAGCTGGGAGAGCTTAGAGTAGAACCAAACTGGCTGTTGCTGCTGCTGGTGCTGCTGCTTCACGGGAGAATTCTCAAGAACACAGTGAGCTGGAGTTTGCGGCGGAGGATGGAGAGGAGGTGGAGCGGCGGGCAACAGACAGTGTGGAATTGCCAGGCAGCAAGTCTTTCCATCGAACGCCGCACCATTCGGAAAGAACGGGAAGAAATTCCCCGCCGCATTCCAGCTTCCATGCTGATCGGCCGGTGGGAACTGGAACCTCGGCAGCGATTGGCACTGCTCCCCTGCCGGATGGGGATTTGGGCACCCAGCAGCCCCGGAATCCTCCGTCGCAGCACTATGCTTCTCGCGGCAACTCATGGCAGCAGTAGCGATCGATTTCGCGGAATCTGGATCATTCCTAGCTCGCTACGCATCCCGCATTGCCGCCGCAAGCTCTGCAGCTTCATCCTCGCCCTGCACCACATTCTCGCCCCCCCCCCCGGATCAATCCGATGGAATGCGGCCCCTACCTAGTCCACGAAAACCCTAACAGCCGGCGACTGTGAAGCGTTTTCCCGGTGACGGAGATAACGACCAACTTGCATACCAGAGCACTTTCCACGCGGCAAGACACGTGTCATAGATATTCCAGGGACTGTAGAGTCCAACTATGGCGATGGGTGTGGAATGCGTGGGTTGGGCAGCTCGGGATCAATCTGGAGTTCTCTCGCGCCACGAGTTCTCTAGGAGGTATAGTGACAGAGATATTTTTCTGCCTTGATTCTGCTCCAGAGCGATAGGAGACGATGACATTTGTTTCAAAATCACCCATTGCGGGATCTGTTACGCCGAAGCCGTGTGCATTTTCAACAAGCTTGGCGACACCAAATATCCCATCGTTCCTGGGTAAGCCCCCAATTCGTTCTTCAATTATCTAGTTTCCTGACCTTTTCAATTTTATTCCTCGTGGCTTTGATTCCATCCATAGACACGAGATTGTGGGCGTGGTGACAGAGGTGGGCTCCAATGTGACACGCTTCAAGGTTGGCGACCGCGCTGCCGTTGGAGCTTACTGCCGCTCCTGTGGCTCTTGCGACGACTGCGATAATGGAATGGAGAACTACTGCCACAAATTGCTCCTCACGTACAACTACGAAGACATCGATGGAACCATCACCAAAGGAGGCTTCTCCAACAAAATGGTTGTCCACTCAAGGTAAGAAACTTCAAAGTTTTTTCGAGTTTTTGATCGAACCTTCTGTTGTCTCGCAGGTATGCTTTCCAAATTCCGGACAAGCTCTCGTCCAGCGATGCCGCTCCACTATTGTGTGCTGGGATCACGGTCTATAGCCCAATGAAACGCTATGGTATGATCTCCCAGACAGGAAAACACCTGGGAGTGATCGGGCTGGGTGGTTTGGGTCATATGGCCGTTAAGTTTGGCAAAGCTTTCGGCCACAAGGTGACGGTGCTCAGCACATCGCCGGGCAAGAAAGAGGACGCTCTCACTCTCCTTGGGGCTGACGAGTTTCTCGTCACAAAAGATCCACAAGCGTTGCATGTAAGTTCACGTTTAAGATACTTTTCCTCTGGCTCGAGACGTCATTCTTTGTTTGTTCACCATGACAGGCCGCAGGAAAATCCATAGATTGGATCATCGATACAGCGGCAGGGAAACACGATCTGAACTTGTATCTCCCACTTCTAAAGACGGGAGGGCACTTAGTCATGGTGGGTGTTCCACCGAGTATTGAATTTGCTACACACTTGATGTTGCGTAAGTTTTTCTTTCATACTTTTTTCTTGTTTGGCTCATTCTATATATTGTGTTTCTTAGCCAGGAGATCGATCTCCGGGAGCGTAACCGGCGGATGCAAAGAGATCGAAGAGATGCTCCAATTTTGTGCCGATAAGCAAATCCTCCCCAACATCGAGATAGTTCCCATCGACTACGCAAACACTGCCATACAAAGGATGATCAGAAGCGACGTTAAGTTTCGTTTCGTCATAGACATCGCAAGCTCTTTAAAGTAAGCGTTTTAAACAAAAGATAAAGGTGATTAATAAGTTAAACCAATAAATCGCCTCTAGGGCTTTCAATCCGGTTAAAAAGCTGGACAGCAGAGATTCACATGAAGCAAGGCATCGCACACAGCCAATCCAAGAACAATATCTCCGAGTCGGCGATTTCCTACACCAAAGCAGCCGAGTGTTTTCGGCGAGACGGCTCTACGGACAAAGCGGTTGCGGCGTAGGTTGCGTGGAAAAAACTGGGACCTTCTTGCCATCTCCTGGTAGCGATCTGCTCAAAGAACATTGGAGAGCTGGAGAGCAACGAGAGAGCGCTTGAGGCGTTCAAGACGCCCTCCAAGGTGAATGTGAGATTGTCGCTGTTCAAGGCGGCCGTTTGCCGCGTTCTAGATGCGCGGTACGGGGATCTCGATAGAGTGGTGAAGCACGAGTACGAGGAGATAGATCCCGGGTTTGGATCCAGCACAGAGTTTAGAATTGTCCAAGGTCTTTACCTCTCGATAGACATGGAGGATGAGCGTGGGTTTTGTGATTCCGTGGATGCTTGCGCCAAGATGTGTGGTGCCAAAGAAACATTAGAATTAGCTGCCTTTTAATAAGGTGAATCTGGACAATCACAGCCTCTCAATTAAATGCAAGTGCAAGAACGAGTGTAAACTTATCAACAAAAGAATGCTATGGAACCCTCCATGAAATTCAAAGAATTTATGGCATTTCAATGCTATGTGTGCATGTTAGCCAAAAGCTTGTAGGCAGCAGTGTTGTGCAGCGGTGGGAGAAATTCGGCCACAGTCCACGATGAGATTGAGGAGCTTGTGCACGCTGGGAAGGCAAGACAAGTGTCCGTTGGGAAGGCAAGATGGGTGTGTCGTGTGTGCTCTGCCTTGACTCAGGAGATGAAAATTCCGGTGTGGGGGACTGGGAATTCGTTGGTGTCTCCTGAACTGCAGCAGCGTTGATAGAACAGATGAGATTCAAGGGCACTTATACTATGACTAACTTGCATGCCTACAACTCGCAAACCGTAGAAAGTGTGAGGGATTGAGATCCCTAAGAAGAAATATATATGGATAATTAATACCACGTGGTAACACATGATCGGCCATTTGGTGAAGGATTTCAGCCATCTGGTGAGTCGTAATGAAGCCATTTGGTGAAAGCATTCATGGATAAGTATATGTATATAAGCTATCTGCTTGGCTAGAGACCAGCGTGGCCTTGGCTCAAAGCAACCTCACCTCCTATGTCGATCTTAGCTGGGAGCAGCCTGATCATAGCGAGTCAGTTTCAGCTCATAGTGAGTCAGCTGCTTGGAGCAGTGAGTTGATCACAGCTTAAGGTAGCCTAGTTACAGCGATCAAACTTAACTTGGAGTAGCAGTTGGAATGGCTGTCAAGCTGTAATGGAAGCAAGTTTACATTTTTCAAGCCTCTAGAAAAGAGTGTAGGTCCACGTTGCATCCTTCATGGGGAGCTAGTGAAAGAAAACTGTTCTTAAGCCTCTAGATGGTCAGCCATCCTTCTCTGCGTTACACCCATAAATACTTGAAGCTTGAATAAAGTCCTTCAGTCTTCCTGGTTCAATCAAGCCCTGAGAAGCCTAAATGAATTGATACCTTTGCTGGAAATTTCTTGTTATAACTAGTGTAAAAAAATCCACTCTCAAGAGCAAGAATTCTTCACTAAACCCCATAAAACCTCATTTCATTCCTTGCAGCCCTAGACTCCCTAGATTTAAGACTGGGATTCGAACTAAGCACCACTTTTTCTATAGAGTCCAACTATGGCGATGGGTGTGGAATGCGTGGGTTGGGCAGCTCGGGATCAATCTGGAGTTCTCTCGCGCCACGAGTTCTCTAGGAGGTATAGTGACAAAGATATTTTTCTGCCTTGATTCTGCTCCAGAGCGATAGGAGACGATGACATTTGTTTCAAAATCACCCACTGCGGGATCTGTTACGCTGAAGCCGTGTGGCTTTTCAACAAGCTTGGCGACACCAAATATCCCATCGTTCCTGGGTAAGCGAGAGAGAACTCCCCAATTCGTTCTTCAATTATCTGGTTTCCTGGATCCCCTTTCTTTTCTTTTGAACCCAGCATGATCTCTCCCTCAGTTTTTCTTCTGTTCTTATTTTTGTTCTTGGTTTCTCTCCTAGTTGACTTTTTCAGTTTTTTCCTCACGGCTTTGATTCCATCCATAGACACGAGATTGTAGGCGTGGTGGCAGAGGTGGGCTCCAATGTGACACGCTTCAAGGTTGGCGACCGCGCTGGCGTTGGAGCTTACTGCCGCTCCTGTGGCTCTTGCGACGACTGCGATAATGGAATGGAGAACTATTGCCACAAATCGCTCCTCACGTACAACTACGAAGACATCGATGGAACCATCACCAAAGGAGGCTTCTCCAACAAAATGGTTGTCCACTCAAGGTAAGAAACTTCAAAGTTTTTTTCGAGTTTTTGATCGAACCTTCTGTTGTCTCGCAGGTATGCTTTCCAAATTCCGGACAAGCTCTCGTCCAGCGATGCCGCTCCACTATTGTGTGCTGGGATCACGGTCTATAGCCCAATGAAACGCTATGGTATGATCTCCCAGACAGGGAAACACCTGGGAGTGATCGGGCTGGGTGGTTTGGGTCATATGGCCGTCAAGTTTGGCAAAGCTTTCGGCCACAAGGTGACGGTGCTCAGCACATCGCCGGGCAAGAAAGAGGACGCTCTCACTCTCCTTGGGGCTGACGAGTTTCTCGTCACAAAAGATCCACAGGCGTTGCATGTAAGTTCGTGTTTAAGATACTTTTCCTCTGGCTCGAGACGTCATTCTTTGTTTGTTCATCATGACAGGCCGCAGAAAAATCCATAGATTGGATCATCGACACAGCGGCAGGGAAACACGATCTAAACTTGTATCTCCCGCTTCTAAAGACGGGAGGGCACTTAGTCATGGTGGGCGTTCCACCGAGTCATGAATTTGCTCCACACTTGATGTTGCGTAAGTTTTCTTTCGTGCTTTTTTCTTGTTTGGCTCATTCTATAGATTGTGTTTCATAGCCATGAGATCGATCTCCGGGAGCTCAACCGGCGGATGCAAAGAGATCGAAGAGATGCTCCAATTTTGTGCCGATAAGCAAATCCTCCCCAACATCGAGATAGTTCCCATCGACTACGCAAACACTGCCATACAAAGGATGATCAAAAGCGACGTTAAGTTTCGTTTCGTCATAGACATCGCAAGCTCTTTAAAGTAAGCGTTTAATCAATAATGATTAATGATTAATAAGTTAAACCAATACATCGCCTTTTTGCATCACTATAAGTATGAAGTCTTCTCTAGGGTTTTCATGGCGTTCTTGTGGAGCAATCCGGTTAAAAAGCTAGAAGAGGAGAAGCGATGGTCCGAGGCAGCAGAGATTCACATGAAGCAAGGCATTGACAGCCAATCCAAGACCAATATCTCCGAGTCGGCGATTTCCTACACGAAAGCAGCTGAGTGTTTTCGGCGAGACGGCTCCACGGACAAAGCGGTCGCGGCGTGGCACCTCGCGAAGGTTGCGTGGAAAAAACTGGGACCTTCTTGCCATCTCCTGGCAGCGATCTGCTCAAAGAACATTGGAGAGCTGGAGAGCAACGAGCGGGCGCTTGAGGCGTTCAAGGAGGCCTCCGTCCTTTTCGGGAATACCAATCTCAAGGAGTCACTGCGGTGCCAGATCCGGGCCGCCAACCTGGCCGTGGTCATTGCGAAGTTTGGCGAGGCGACCCAGATGTTTGAAGCTATTGCGCGTAGCACCCCAACGCCCTCCAAGGTGAATGTGAGATCGTCGCTGTTCAAGGCTGCCGTTTGCCGCGTTCTAGATGCGCGGTACGGGGATCTCGATAGAGTGGTGAAGCACGAGTACGAGAAGCTAGATCCCGGGTTTGGATCCAGCGCAGAGTTTAGAATTGTCCAAGGTCTTTACCTCTCGATAGACATGGAGGATGAGCATGGGTTTTGTGATTCCGTGGATGCTTGCGCCAAGATGTTTGGTGCCAAAGAAACATTAGTGAAAGAACTCTTGTACAAATGTTATACTGAGTTAGCAGCCTTTTAATAAGGTGAATCTGGACAATCACAGCCTCTCAATTGAATGCAAGTGCAAGAACGAGTGTAAACTTATCAACAAAAGAATGCTATGGAGTAACCTCAGTCTGTACAACACCCTCCTCCATGAAATTCATGGCATTTCAATGCTATTTGTGCATGTTAGCCAAGAGTTTGTAGGCAGCAGTGTTGTGCGGATTGAGCTCCACCACCTTTTGCGAAGCTCGGGCAGCCCTGAAAGCGTCGCCATGGAGTTTACAAGCGCCCAAGAGTGTACCCCATGCAATTGCTTCAGCCTCGAAGGGCATGGAATCCACGAGCTCCTCGGCAGCATCCAGCTGGCCAGCCCGGCCTAGCGCATCCACAATGCAGCAATAGTGCTGGAGCGTTGGGATGATCCCACGGTCGATCTTAATGGATGCAAAGCAACTTCTACTGCTCGCCACCTTGCCCTTGTGAGCGAACGAGTGGAGGATTCTCATGTAGCTCGTGTCATCCACAACAGCGCCCTGGAGATCCGAAAATCTAAACAAGGAGAGCGCGTCGTTTGCGTACCCAAACCCCGAGTACGTGGAAATCATAGCGTTGAATGAGGATGAGTCACGGCAGGGCATAATCTCAAACAAGAAACTCGCAGCATCAAGATTTCCGCACTGAGCATATGCGGTAAACATGGTGGCCCAGGACGAAGAATCCTTTGCTGGCATTTTCTTAAACATTCGTATTGCATCGTTGGTATGGCCATTCTCAACGAGAGCTGCGATTATAGCATTCCATGCAATCGTGTCACGGCTGAGGATATCCTCAAACATTTCTAAAGCCAAAGAGAGATACCCGGCTTGAGAATATGCCTGCATCAATGTAGTTTTTGCAACAATGTCTGGCTCCCGAATCTGGTCGAATGTCCATTTTGCTTCCTCGATCTTGCCCTTGAGAGCGTAGGCTCTCACCATAGCTGTGCAAGACACAACATTAAGATCTGGAATCTTGAGAAAGAGGGCCATTGCTTCCTCTAGAAATCCTTCATTAGCATATACCGTCAAAAGAGTGGTCCACGAAACGATGCTTGGGTTGGGCATCTCATCGAAAGCTCTCTTGCATTCTTCTACGTAGCCATGTTGGCAGTAGGCTCCAAGCATAATATTCCATGACACTACATCTGGTTGAGGCATATTCTGCAGAACATCTCTCGCTTGCTGTAAGCTGCCTTCATCCGCAAATGCCTGAAGCATGAGATTCCAAGACGTGGTATCTCTTTCTGGCATCGAATCAAACAGATCCTTGGAATCATCTAGATGCCCGTTTTGGGCAAACGCTTGTAGCATGGTGTTCCAAGTGATAATGTTTCGAAACGGCATAGAGAAAAAAAGAGTCTTTGAGTGTAAAAGACAACCATTCGCGGAGTACGCTCCGATCATGACCGTCCACGTTACAACATCGCGCACGTCCATTCGATCAAACATGGACTTTGCTTCGGCAAAATGCCCTGATCTGGCAAACGCTGCAATCATCGTGTTCCAGGAAACCACGTCAAAGCCCAAAATGAGGTCAAAGTATTTCTTTGCGGCCCCAAGATTCCCGGACTGGGCATATGCTTGGAACATTACGTTGAAAGAGACGGCATTCTTGCAAGGAATGGCATCAAACACGCGCTGGGCTTCCACAAGATGCCCACTCTCGGTATATGCCACAAGGAGAATGTTCCAGGAATATACGTTGGGCTCACCAATGGAGTGGAACGTCTTGAGCGCGTCCTCGCAACTATGGCATTGCCCATACATTTTCACGAGGAGATTCTTGAGGTATCGGTTCTCTCGATAGGAGCTGGATTGGATCGCCGCATCGATTCGCCGGGCTCGCTGCAAATCGCGCAAATCTCCACACTCGCGGATGAGTTGCTCGTAGTAGTCTTGGCCCCGGAGAACCTTGTGAGGGAAATCCGGGTTTCTTGATCTCTTGGCACTGCTACTCACGATTTCTTTTGCCAGATCTTGCCAGCGGCTGGGACTATCCAATGCCGCTGGAGATGGGATCATAGATCACGCAAACGAGAGGAAGATCTCGATCATAGAACAAGAAGAAGAAAGAAATGGGAGGATCTAGGGTTTATGCGCTTGAGCTTGCGGAAGAAATGGCGGCTCTCTCCACAGAGGATGATGATCGCCGAGGCAGAGGCGCAAGATCATCATCAATCTCCAGCTCCTCCTCCTCCGGCGGCGACGCCTCTGGCCGATGCCTCCGTCTACGCATCGCTGCTGCGGCGATGCGGCGACGCCGGCGCCATCGCCGAGGGCCGCCGCGTCCACGCCCACATCGTCAAGCACGGCTTCGATCGCGATATCCTCGTCGCGAATTCGATCATCCAGATGTATGGGAGCTGCGGCTGCGTCGACGATGCCCGCGCGGTCTTCAAGAGCATCGATGCCGCCGCCGTCAGGAACGTCTACACCGACACGATCATGCTGGTGGCGCTCGCGCAGAACGGCCACCTCCAGGAATCGCGGGCTCTCTTCGATTCCATGGTGGACAGGAGCTCCGTGTCGTGGAACGCGATGATCTCGGCCTACGCCCAGAGCGCCCAGTTCGAGGCGGCGCTCCATCTCTTCCGGCTCATGAATCACGACGGATGCCTCCCCGATCGGAGCACATTCGTGAATGCGCTGGGCGCTTGCTGCGAGCTGACCGCGCTCCAGTTTGGCCGGATGATCCACGCCCAGATCGCCGAGAGTGGGCTGGAGCGCGAGTGCATGGTCGCCACCGCGCTCATCAATCTCCACGGAAAGTGTGGCAATCTGGAAGGTGCTAGAGCCGTGTTTGATCTCATGGAGGAGAGAACCATCATCTCCTGGACCGCGATGATCACGGCATACTCCCAGAACGGGCAAATCGTCTTGGCGCGCCAGTTCTTCGATCGGATGCCTCACTGGTGCGTGATCTCGGGAAACACTCTCATCTCCGCGTACTCCCGCGGGAGAAATCTCCGCGAGGTCCAGTCGGCGTTCGATCAGATGCCAGTCCACGACACCACATCGTGGAACCTGATGATCGCAGCATTTGCCGAGGCCGGGCATTCGCAGCACGCGTTCGATCTCTTCTTCGCGATGCCCGGCGGGCGCTGCGTCGTGTCGTGGACGACGATCCTCTCGTCGTGCTCGCAGAGCCGGCGCCTGGACGACGCGAGGGCGATCTTCGCCAGGATGCCGCAGCACGACCCAATCTCCTGGAACGCGATGATCTCTGCGCTGGGACACAACGGCCGGATCCGCGAGGCCGAGGAGCTCTTCGCCTCGCTGGCCGTGAAGAGCGTCTCGTCGTGCAACGCGATGATCGTCGCGTATGCAGAGAGTGGGAATCTTGAAGATGCGAGGCGGATCTTTAACGGGATGATGGACAGGAGCCCGGCGACGTGGGGGAGCATGGTTCTAGCATATGCCCAGAGCGGGCATGTCCGCGAGGCACAGCGGCTCTTCCACAGTATGCCCGTAAAGGACATGGTGGCATGGAACTCCCTCATGACGGCCTTCTCCCGGAGCGAGGACGAGGACGAGCGACGCGAGGCTTTGCGCGTCTTCGGTGCGATGGAGTCGCCGAGCTCCGGGCTGGTCCCCAACGAGCACAGCTACATGGCGGTGCTGGAGTCCTGCGGGAAGCTTGGAGCTCTCGCGGAGGGGCGCGAGATCCACGCCAGGATCGCCAAGCGCGGCTTTGATGCCTGCGATCTCGTAGCGGCGAGTTTGATCGAGATGTATGGGCGGTGCGGCAGCGTGGACGAGGCGGTCGCGGTGCTGGATCAGACGCGATCGCTGGGGCGCTCGGTGTGGAGCGCGGCGATCTGCGCGCTGGGACAGAACGGGATCGGGGGTGCGGCGCTGGGGCTGCTCCAGAGGATGCAGCTCCAGGGGATCGAGGTGGACGCCAGTAGCACTTTCGTGAGCTTGCTGGCAGCGTGCAGCCATGGAGGGATGCTGCGCGAGGGAGTGGAGCTGTTTCGATCCATGGTGGGCGATTTTGGAGTGGAGCCCGTGTTGGAGCATTTCTTGTGCCTGGTGGATCTGCTGGGGCGGGCGGGGCAATTGGATCGAGCGCTGGAGCTGGTGACGAGCATGCCATACCAGGCGGATGCTGTGGCTTGGGTCAGCTTGCTCAGTGCTTGCAGTGTCCATGCTGATAAGGCGAGAGGGGCGCTTGCTACTTCGAGCTTGCTGGAGATCGACAGAAGCGATGCCGCTAGTTACTGTCAGTTCGTTTTCTTGTAACTTCCCATTCTTCATTAGTATATAAACATATCCAGCATTTGTTATATATATACATATAAAAACAAACTATCGTATAGTAAAAATAATAATATTATACTGAAAAAATTATTAGTATGGCAATGGAGATGAAAAAGGTGGTAGGGTCGAAGTTGTTAATGAAAAAAGTGCTGGGAAAGTGGAGGCCATGGGGAAGGGTGGTGTATTTGAGAAGGTTAATGAAACAGGAGCCGACATGGATAAAGTATCAGGTGTTGTAGCAAAAAGTAGAGGGCTAGTGTGAGAGAAACGAAGGTGGCATATATGAAATTGAGGGCAGTGTGAGAGAATGTAAAGCAGAAGTGTTTGTAGGCATGAAAACTGTTGTCAATGGAGGAGTAGGTGTATGAGTTGTGACCACAGAGGTACATGCAAGCGTAGACATGGTAAGGGTGAGTTTGTTGTAGCCACAGCCATAGGGGATGTAGAAGCTATCACGGGTGGCACAACGGATCACGTAGGCTGCGTAGTTTCTATTGGGGCAGTTGCCGGAGGCAGAGTGGACCGCTTATCTGTGACTGTTGCTACAGTGGACCATGTACCCGTTGACAATGGTGCCTAGACAGGTCGTGAAGCCAAGTGTTGTTCCTCTGTAAGTGCCAGAATTCAGGAGAAGCTGGTGGAGACTGGGTCATGAGTGCATATACTGGCTGGTAGAGTGCGTGGTAATGGTGTTGGAGCTGGTGCAGAGCAGGACGTTGGTGAGAGTGCAAATCCTTCATAGGGGCTGATCCATGAATGGAATTGTGTGGTGGGGGATTTGGTGATTGACAAGATGATGAAGCGATGTGAGAAAGTGATGGAGGAGCATTTGTCATAAGAGGAAGAGAACACTTGTCATGCATTATACCAGAAGTTGCGGCCATGTCTTCAATCTTAATCGTTCCTGGACAGATGAAGTATGAGTAAATGTCCCAAGTCTTTAATTCGGTTTTGGAGTCGGTCTTAGCTCAATCTTGGCCTCGATCTCATCCAATAAATTTTTTATCATTCTTATTGTGGTTGTAGGGATTTTTTAGCCTACAACACCTCAAGAAATGCTTTATATATTTTCTGGCTTTTGATAAAAACAATGGCAATGATTAGTATGATGGTATATATATTCACAACACATTGCTATATCACGCATCCAAAAGATTACCATGAAATATTTTTTGAGATGGTAAAGACAGAAATAGAGATACACGAGTATTATGGGCAATATTGTGAAAAGAACACTCACAAAGTACATAAAATAAAAAGTGAAATAAAAAAAAGTTTTTTATTAATTATATAAAGTATAATAAGTTTATATTATTGATTGAGAATAAACATCAATAGTCTTAAAAAATCTAGTTAACTCCAAAAGTCTTTTGCAACTCAACAATAGTAAAGCTTGTTTGGTGTATTTGAATATCTACTTTAAGATTATGATGCAAAATGTTAATGAAGATATAATATATATATTTGCAAGGAGCATATGCCTTCCTATATTCCTTGCGCTTCATAAAGTCTGAATATGTGCAAAAAGGAAGGTTTTGAATAATGATTGTATATTCTTCACCTTATGTTTTAACCATATACTCCTTTATAAGTGTAGTGATATACTTTGTGAAGAGAATCTCATACTCAAGCATTTGAGCCAAGTTTATTTTACTTTATTTATTTAGAAATGTTATCAATAAATTTAAATATCTTACTTTTTCTTATTAGCTTCTTATGCATGTCTGTGGGAACAATCCCAATTTTGTCACTCATATCTTTAACTCTCATCTCACTATTGAAACTAAATTTCTCAAGGTTTTCAATCTTATTTGAGGTGAGCGGGGCCTTATTAACAATTGGCCATTCTTTAGGTACTGCATTAAGTTTAATCACTATAGTGTTTTCAAGCTAATTTATATGGTTGGCATCAGTGTTGCTGCAATATAGCCAACAACATCTTGAAAATCCTATTTGTTTTAGTTTTTCAAAAATATAGGACTAGAATAGAAGCAAATTTATCACTATAGATCCAAGTTTAACGTTTGCCCTTTGGAAGCATCCTCACACACTTTACATTAGATTTGTTGGCATGCGGCGGATTGCCCATTACTTTAGTTCCACACTATATTAAGTGATTGCAATTTATTATGATACACTTTTTTCATCAACCACTTGAATTGGCTCAATTCAAAGGTAGTGTCTTTGGAGTATAATAATACTCAACATTAGGTTTGTGAGAGTTTTCGCTCTAACATCCATGCCAACATCGTCACCAGCAAAGGAGAAAAGATGCTTTGAGTAGACAGTCTTCATGTCACCAATAGAAGTCCAAAGAATGTACTCCATAGATGTGCTACAGATAACTTTCTCCACTACAGTTGCTACTATTCGTGCTAGTGGAGTTATTTTTTTTTCATCCTATGTGTAACATCTCAACTAAAGGTTTTATTCCTATATATTTTTCTTCCTTAAATGCCAAGACTTTTGAAAACTACTTTATAGCGCGTATTAAATTTGATAGACATGCTTTATATAAACTCATCTTTCCCTTCCTTGCCTTAGAGGAATGTTAGCTTCAATGCTTATTCTTTAAGAGATTCACAAATGGGGTGTATACAAGATCCTTAAGTGGTTAGTCATAATGGAAAAAGATGATAATAAAAGGCAAAAAATAGAGAAGAAAAAAGAAAAATTAACTTGAAGAGAGTAATATCGCCATTGGAATATTCTAACTTCCCACCACCTCAACCATGCCTCATGTTGTGGTAAACAACTTATGTCCATATGGCCATCTTCACACCACTATATTTGGATTTTATTTATTTTTTCCTTATGCTCTTTTTTAGAATATGCAACTTCCCATTATTTACACTCTTTGCCATTATTAACTCTTTAAATGCTAATGGAAAATTTAATTTGATAAGGTGATAGTACTGGTTTAGGCTTTGAGCCTAATGGAATTCACAAGTCCTTTCACAACTTTCTAGGGGTTGATTATTCCCAAAAATTGCTTGAATGTCATTTCAATTAGCTTTAGCCCCATTTGCTATGAAACCATGAGAGTTGGCATGTTTACCAATTTACTTCAATACAATGTTAGAGAAGTACTTCCAAAATATTTCTTAGACTATCTAGTCTTGTACTTTAAACTCTACTACTGCAATTGTCAAGTTAGAATGTAGCCTATGAAAAGGGTAATGCTTAAAACCATTTTAAGATAGTGAGAGAAAATAATTACCTCGGATCATACATATGCACTCCTATAGTTCAACTTAATACCTGCTCTATATAGTCAAAATGTACGCATGCATTAATAATGTCACTTGATGCAAACACATCCATTTAGGAGATAAAATCTACACCATAGGTGGGGCCTATGGTAGATATTTTAAAGATGAAAGGGCACTTCTACTCACTAACGACTTGATCTAGAAATAAACTCTTATGGATAAACTTGTAAAGACAAGTCCATTTTAATTCAAGGATAGAGTCGATTTTTTACTGTAGTTTCCCCTCTTGAGATTCATACATCTAAGATTTTATCCTAAATAAAACAAAATGTAAAAGAGATAATATTGAAAGTATGTATTATTATTTTCTTACCTTTTGAGGCTAGTTGTAAGTTACACACATTGTAGTAGCTCCCACAAGCTAACCTTATCTAGTTGAGTCTTTTTGCAGCCCGGATTGAGTAAAGTGCTTGTAATAAAATCCTTTAGCATTGTCTTTTGACTATGCTTTGGAATTGTAAATGAATTTCTTATAATTTCTTTTTGCACTATATCTCTTAAACGTTAATTAAACTTCTTTCTATCCTTTCCTACATTATATATATGTGTGTGCCAATATGTATTATAGTTCTACCAACCTCTCCATCTCATGAAAAAAAGTAATATATTTTGGCCCTGTAAATGGCATGACACAATGGAGTATTCTTGTAAAATTGGCACTTGAATCCAACACTAATGAAATGATTGATTGTATATCCTTAAAAAAATATGGAATTTTTACCATACTCTTGATTGCATGCTTCATTCACACAATCTAAATTCCCACTATAATGAACCATAGATATTATGCTTTTGAAATGTTGGAAGTTTGCAATCTTAATCTTGCATTAGTTGTGCATGTTTTATTTGGTCTCTATCCCCTTTTGTTTTGAGCTAACAAGAGGTGGTAATTCAAAAAAGATATTGCTATTTGTATGTGGATAGGAGTTTGCTCATTGGCCTATGCAAAAACGAGTGCATGTCAATAAAGAGGCAGAAAAATTAAAAAGTATTGTAAATAACTTTGAATATCGGTGAAGTCGGAGTTGGTAATTTTTTGGCTAGCATTAAACTGGCATCTCTATTGAAAATAGAAGAAGAGGAAATAATGATGACTGACTTTTATTTCACATTTGCTTTATCATGATTATAGTTTTGTATTTTGATTGGAGATCCAAAACTCAAATTTCCTTAAACTTAGAATTTTACAAATCCCAATGTTGTCCACCTTTACCCACACTTGACAGAAGAAACTTGAATCATTCAACTACACTAATGTTGTTGTGAATCAGAGCCTCCAATGAAATAGAACCGAGAGAAAAATTAAAATGTTAGCAAAGAAAACTTTCTAAAACAAAACTTTGGGAGAAAGCTCTTGGTAATGCAAAAGAAAGCTCTCTATTTTATTCCCTTTAGGTTTTTGGAGTTTGAACTTTTATGATAAGGTCTATTAGAAGTATAAAAAGACTATCTTCATTAAAAAATTATATTATCTTCCAATCTTTACACTAGATTCAAAAACATGCTCAAAGTTATCATGCAAAGTATTTAGAGTTAGAACAAAAAGGAAAGTCACCTCAAACATATACTTTTACTAATATGTCATTATGTGAAAAGTAAAGGTGATTTTATTCTAGGATCTACCATTGATTAACATTATTATAATAATGTCTATATGAAGTATAGAGGACTATTGTGTACAATATTAAAAGTCTGTATACATCAAATTCATGTTTTAACATCTATAATCTTTATAAATTGAACAACCTTAGGACAAACATAGATATATTCCTTGTTTCGATCTTCAAGCCAAAAATGCCCTCTTAGTTTCATTGGAAATTGAGAGAGTTTGGGATGATATTTGGAAAATGGAATTTAATAACATGCTTATGAGCTATTTTTGAAACTCAATAATTTGTAACAAAAATTTCTACATTGTTAATGGGAATCATCATTGGTGTGCATGGATGAAGTGCATCAATCACTTCTGAGACGAAGTGCTTTCAAGATGATCCTGATATCACATCCACTAGATTCTAGGGAATATCCTTCAAAAATCTAGTAGGAATATTCTATTTCATGCACAGAATATGTGTTTTCACCCGAATATATGTTTTCATGCAGAGAATACCCAATTTTACATGTAGAATATTTTACCAGGACTAATAAGGTAATGCCATATGCAGTATCTTTTTCATGGAGCATCAGTTTACAAATAGTACCCCATAACTTGCCCATTTTAGGCAGTGATGGAGGCCTTTAACCTATTCTCTAACGGCTTGACTGTTAAGTTGATTCAATCGTTGGGGAGCTATGGGATTGAGGTTTATTATTTGCTAGAATATTATTCCAGTCACTATCATCTTATGTGGCCTGTAAATATGTTCTACTACCCACCCAGCAGTTGGTAGTTATGTTCTCAAGAACATGTACTACTTATCAAAACTTTATACATTTAGCATATTTAATTTGACTGACTTAAATCTGGGTGCCATGTGTATTGCTCAAGAGGCTTGCCACATGCCCATTAAGGCACAGGCACGGGCACGGGCTCGTACATTCCCGCTGGAACGCACTCGGTGGGCTAATGGGCGGGAATGGGCTCGCCCTACCTGTGAACCAATCTTCAAGTTTGATGGAGCATTGTGCTGACCTTGTTGATGTAGGAGCTGCATGATTTCATAAGCAGATTGTCAAGAACAAGGACAATTAACTCAAGATAGTTGTAAGCATTGCTATTTCGATATGGTGGAACGCAAAGCTGCAACTGCGCCAAAGGCCACAGACTGCTTAGGGTTATTTCAGAGGCAAGTGGACAAATTCAAAAAGGTATTAGTCCTTGGGTTCTTCTTGATAGGAATCTGCATGGAGAAACTGGGAAGCTGCTGAACAGAAGGTTGCATCAATGAGTGTGTATACAAATGAGTGTGTATGCAAACGAGGGTGCTCCAGAGGATGAAGCTCCAGCGGATCGGGGTGTGGAAGGTTTGGAGGGATGTTGTGCAAGGTTTCGATCCATGGTGTGCGATTTTGGAATGGAGCCCTTGCTGGTGCATTTCTTGTGCCTGGTGGATCTGCTGAGGCGGGCGGGGCAATTGGATCGAGCGCAGGAGCTGGTGACGAGCATGCCATAGGCCGTGGCGTTGGTCAGCTTGCTCAGTGCTTGCAGTGTGCATGCTGAGGGCGCTAGGCTACCTTGAGCTTGCTGGAGAACGACAGCAGCGATGCTGTTTGTGTTATGATTTGGTTAACCCTGTTACTCATTTCTTAACCAAATAATTATGAAAACTTGTAAGAATTGAAAACTTGTATGCAAGTTTACTCAAAATATTGAATTATATAAGTGAAAGGACGCCGTCGTTGGGTTCTCGTGCTTCTGCAAAATGATTATATTTAAAAATATGTAAGACAGGATATTTAAAAAAAGTTAAAAGCTCATTGATAATTATTTTCATCCATTCATTGAAAATTTGAATCATATCAGGTGGTTCATAAGTGAAAGGATGTCTCCCAAGTCACAGTTTTTCGTGAACATGATTGATCTACAAACGAATGCTCAAATTTTCTTTCGTCCGGCCCGCCCGGCCCAGCTTTGTTTGCGCGTGACGTTTTAGATAAATTCGAACAACCTTCTGAATTCAACAATTCAGAGTGGGGTGAAAAAAAAGAGGTGGCGGGCGGACGAGATTATGATACGTGTGTAACGTATTCTTGTGAATCATAGCGTGGAAAGTAAAAGGATTGAATTATCAGGGCCCCATTGTTATGCCTAACACTTGGCCAATGTTCAATCGATCTGGGCAGTCGTGTGAGTTTGCCCAACCTCCTCCACAACACGTAAGTTTCCTTCGAGTCTATCCAAATCCTTGAAAAGGTGACGCAAGTATGCATTGAAAACTCTTGGGTGGGGCTGTCGATTGGCCCCCGAGAACTTGGGCGATTGATCGAAGAGAAGAGGAGAGTTTCTCGTCTCTCTTTTCTGGCAATCACAAGTTGACAACACCTTCCGGATTTTTCGATTCCATTCGCAAAGCAAACAAAACAAGATATACATGGATTGCAAGAGAAAAAGTTCATACGGAAAGATCAGGGCACAAATTGGGACCGCTTTCATGTTTATGGCGCACACGTACGTTCCGTGACCAAAATTTTGACCGTTTGGGCCATACAGGAAAACGCCAAGCGATCTTAAAACACCACCCCCCTCCACAGCGGAGGAGACCCCACTCACACCCCGCCACGTGTCGGGTGAGATCTCTGTTGCTAGGGCCTCCGCCAAAGTTCTCATCCGGAATGGGGACCGCGCGGAGCGGCCACGTGTGCCGCGCGGGGCCGGACGATTGGGATTTGAAACTTCGAGCTGGCCACCGACACGATTCCGGGCCGGAATGCTCGCCACGTCACTAGAAATTCGGGGGGAAAGCCCGTTGGTGTTTCCTCTCCCCTCTTGTGTGTGCGTGTGTATTTTTTTTTATGGTCCAATTTCTTGGCTTGGATCTTGTCATTCCGTCCCGAGCTTGGCGGGCACCAATTGCGCCATCTGTCGGTGATTGCTACGCGCAGAGCTAGCGATCGATCGATGGGTTCCTTTTATTAGATAGGTAGCGTCTCTTCCCTTGCGCTCAAGGAAGATTCTATCTTTCGCTTTGGATTTTGGATTCTCGGTCGGCGCCAAGAAGTTTGTGGCATTTTCTCCACGGGATCGTCGATCGCAGCTATCTTTCCGCGGTTAGATTCTTGTTCCTCGGCTTTTCTCGCCCAGGATCTCGGCGAATTGGCAAGGGCACCGCCAGGGTTTCTTTCTCTCTTCCTCTCTGTTCTTCCCGATGGCCAGCGGATTGAAAGCGGCAGCGACGAATCCAGGTGGTGGCGGCGGCGGCGGTGGCGATTTCGCGTCGAGCTTCTCGCGCAGCAAATGCCTCCGCGAGCGCGGCAACACTCTCTACCACGAGGCGATGGCGCAGACATCGCTGCCCGGGATTCGCAGCTCTAGGCTCCAGGACGCCATCCAATTGTACTGCCAGGCCCTCTCTCTCAGCCCGAGCGACAGCGATCGCGCGATGTGTTGCAAGAACCTAGGGCAGGCCTTTTGGGCGCGATCCAAGCACAGATTGGCGATGGTGGAGGAGAAGAATCCCCGGCAGCAGCAGCAGCAAGAGGCTTTCTTGGAATCCCTGTGCTTCGATCTTCTCAGCAGCGTCAGCTACTTCCTCGAGGCCTTGAATTTCAGCCGCCCTCCAGCCCAGCCCAAGGAATGGGTCCAGGGGATCCACTGGACGCTGGTGGATGTGGCGTGGACAGTGGATGATATCCGCGAGAGCTCGCCCATGGGCGGGCGATACAAGGGGCGATTCCTCGCGGAGCTCTGCGCGGTGTTCCAGCAAAAGGTCCCGACCAACGTCAAGCTCCAGGCCAGCGCCATCGTCCATAAGTCCTGCGCCCAGCACGGCCTCAAGAACGCCATGGCCCTCGACGCGCGATTCGCCCGCGTGCCGGTGCTGCGCGACTGCCTCTTCCACCTCTCGATCGCGCAGGCACACACGGATCCCTCTGCCGCGGCGTTTCTCGCCGAGATCGCCGCCCTCCGCGCCTCGATCGTCAAGCAAATCGATGCCTGCGAGGAGCTCCGGAGGAATTCACCGAGCTCGTCGCCCAAAACCGGCGAATTCCGGCACGAGGGCGCCGCCGCGAGCCGGCCCAATCCGGCGGAGCTGCGAAGGAATCAGAGCTACTCCGAGGAGCGATCGCAGTCGGCGCAGAGCAGGATTGGTGGGAATTTGAATCCGCCACGCGGGTGTAGTAGCTTCCGGAGCTCGCCCCCCAAGAACAGAGGCGGTGGACGCCAGCCGTCGGATCTTGCGGCGCGATCAGGGCCGTCGGATGTGGAGCGCCTGTTTAACAGCCTCCCGCCTCTCGACTTCCTGCGCTGCCTGTACGACAGGTACCCGCCCAGCCGGAGGAGGGGGGAATCTCTCTCGAATCTCGGGGATATTCGCGACGTTGGTGAGCTCAAGAGCGCGTATAGGCGGGCAATCTCGCATTACCACCCGGACCACTGTGGCTCTTGCCCTAACACCGCCAAGCACGCGGACGAGATCACCAAGTACCTCATCATAAACTTCAATGCGCTCAAGGATCTCTACTACGTGGGCTAGCAACACAAGGTATCGGAAGGTATCGGTTTTGGGAATCTTTTGTGAGATAGAAGGCGGGAAACAAAGAACACGCACAGTTTCTCCAAATTAATCTATACTTAATTATGAGGAGTGGGGGCATTAACCGTTTCTAATGGAGCGATCATGCTTTCCAACTGAATTGGACCGTTCGTGTCTCTAGCACACAGTAACCATATGAAAATCGAATCCACTATTCCTGGCGGGGGTAAGAAACTTGCGCGGGTAGATTGATTTTGTAAATGAAATGATCAAAGATCCAAATTGTAAATAGATCCAACACTGTTTGAAAGAAAAGGGATCAAAGGGCTGTCTATAAAATACAAACTAGAACGATGTCAAAAAAGAAATCTTTTTGCAATGCTCACATTGGCTATGTAGAAGATGTAGGCGTTGATGGCCTACACCGCTAAGATCTCTCCCAATGCTTGTGGTTCTTTCTCTCCTCGTCTCTCGATGGCTCAGTACCTTCGCCTTGCAGGACTTCGGGACCTGTGGCTTCGAGGAGAAGACCTGAGACGAGAATTCAGTAAGAAGAAAAGAGGAGTTGTACGCCCAAGAGTACCTTTTCCTGGAGCGATTGCTTCGAGAGGACTGATGCGAGGAAGGCCCGGATTTGAAAGCCCAGTCGACGCTAATGGTTTGTGTCAGCAGCTCGGCTCCGTTGAAGTTGCTAATGGCTGCCTGGGCCTCTTCCTTGTGCTCATACTCGATGAGAGCATAGCCCTGGAACAAGGAGCTCAGAACCTGGAACTCTGGAAGAAAAAAATCGTACCTTGACAAAACCAGTCCTTCGATCCAAGTTAAGGTTGAGATTCTTGATCACTCCAGCGTCGGCGAACATCTCGTGCACATCGTCTTCCTGGGCTTCTTCGTGGACGCCAGTCACCAGAATGATCCAGCCCTCGATAGCTGCGTTTCAATCCAAGTAAACGATGGGAAAGAAAGGATGAAAAAGAAAGATGAAGCGAGAGCTAGGGCTTACACTTCTGGGCGCCGTCCTTGTCGTCCGAGACAATGGTATCGAAATCCCGGGCAAACCTGTTGGAGCGATCACTGCTACCTTCGTCGCGAAACCCCCGCCCCTTGGTGTGCTTGGGCGCGCCCCCAATAATCGTAGATCTCACCCTGGGCTGCGGCGCTGGCTCCACGTCTTCCATCGCCACATCCTCGTCGAGGAGATCGTCCTCCTCCGGCTCGAAATCCACAGCATCCATGTCCGCCGTCGCCATTACCTCTTCTTTGCCCTCTCAAAACCCTAACATTTGCTTGCTAACTTATAGCCGGATATTCGTTTAGGGAAAGGGGACAGTTGGGACGAGAGCGATGGCCAAGAAACGGGCCAAGGGATCCTCGGCCGCCATCGCAGCTGCGCAATGGAAGATCGGCGACCTTGTTCTTGCCAAAGTGAAGGGATTCCCGGCGTGGCCGGCTCAGGTACGAGCGAAAATCCGTGCCGCATTTGCTCTTGCTCCACCGTGCTGTGAAAATCCTTGATTCGTGAGGAACTGATGGACGCACAGGTCAGCAGGGCAGAGGATTTCGGGCGGCAGCGCAATCCCGCCAAGGTTTTCGTGGTCTTCTTTGGAACGAAGCAAATGTAAGAGACAACGCAATGTTCTTGTGATGCTTTTCTTTTGTGAGAGGAGTAACGATTGTAGAACTTTTTTCTTTCCTTTTTTTTCCCAGCTCTTGCGAGTGATCCAACTTTCGTTCCTCATCGGTTTCTTCATTACAGACGCTTCTGCCAGCATTCGGAGATCTCAGCCTTTACTGTGGAGGCCAGAGCCGCGCTTCATGCCAGGACGCTATCGAAATGCGTCCCCTCGGATCTCAAACGAGCAGTGAAGGAGATATGCGAGGTGGCTGACGAAAGTGGAGAGCTAACAGTGACGAGGGAGCTCGATCAACCCGGGAGTGACAAAGACAATGACGTGCAGAGCTCCAGTAACGTGGACAACATCCAGGCAGCTGGTACCTTGGCTCAGTCACTGGAATCCAGGAAAGGGAATGGAGCGAACGTCCATCTTTCTAGGCCTGACAGTGGACGAGGGAAGAGAAAGAGGAGCACAGTCCAGATTGAAGAGCGAACCGATGGAAGAGACAGCCATCTTAACCAGAGAGACTGGGAGTCTTCGTGTACGAACTCGTGCAACAGCATGCTCGAAGGGGGGAACCAGGGTGTGCCGCTTGTGGACAAAGTGCTTACAAACTTCGCTTTTCACGAAGAGCTGGATTCCTTCAACAATGGTGTTCTTGAGGAGGATGAGAGGGAGAAAAGCGATCTGCAGGAATCGCAGCAACATCCTCCTAAATTCAGCTGGCTGAGACACAGCTCTAGATCGTCGACCAAGTTTCGGAGGAGAACGCTGAACTTCTCATCAATCAAAATCTGTCAAAAGAGGAAGAGGCAGATTGCGACAAAAAGATTACAGGCAAAAGTTGTAAGTGTGGCATTGCATTTGAAGAGTCTTGATCTGTTTGTTTTCTTCCAGGTTAGCTCTAGCAGTGATAGCGATGAAGACGATGATGATCCTGATTATGCGGAGGGATTTGGTGACTCTCTGGAGAGAAAACCAGGCGAGCTGAAAACAGCAGCAGTAAAGAAACAACGAACAGGCTGGTCTGAACAAAGGAAAAGACCCGAACCGGTGGTGGAGGAGATCTCAGACAAACATCTTCCTTTGGTAAAGAGGGCCAGTGCTCGCATTATTCACGAAGGATGCTGTGACAGAAAACCCTGGCACGAACCGAGGCAAAAACGATTTCCAAAGAAGCAGTGTCTCGAAGGCAGTGATTTGCAAGATTTGAAGACGTCAAACATGGGCGACAAGAGGCAATTCCCGTTGAAAGCTGAAAAGTATCGCCTACGAAGCAGTTTGACAGACAGTGAGGCACCTCTTCCTCCGTGTAAACGTCGCCAGCGAGTCTTAGAAGTGATGACAGGTGGTACTGAAGGCTCGGAGGATGAAGAAGCTGCCAAGCCAAAAGCAGGAACAACTTCGAGATCCAGTCGACTCCTGAAAAACGGAAAAGGAAGTAGCAGAGCAGACGTGCCTGTAAAAAGTTTACAGGGTCCCAAGACTTTGCGACCTGATACAACGCTAAAAAAGCTGAAGAATCAAAAGGCTCAGCTCGGATGTGAAACATCAAGGGAGGAACATTTGCCGAGGCGCACTTTGTTCAAGAGGAGGCTGGTACGGAACAATCTCGCAGTAGAAGATCACGAGCTGAGCGTGGACTACCTGAACGTAACGCACTCAGCTTCTCGGTTTTATTGCGAAGACGTCAACAGGGTCAGAGAAGCGTAAGTCATTTGCATCAGGCACACTCCTCGGTGTTGCTAATCTATCTCCTGGTTTTTGCAGATATGAAGCTGCCAAAGAGAAGAAGCAAAAGCTTGCTTCCAAGAATACCTCCGCTCCTTCAACCTCCATGAAATACTATCTTGCCGTTTCTCATTCCAAGCAGAACTTTTCGGTTCCCTCGATGCTGTATTCCAGAAAGTCTGACCCGCACCGGGAAGCTGCTCTGAGGTTGAACATGTTTTCGTTGGAGAATTCACTAACACTTATAATCTTCACGGTAAATAATCGTCCTCTTTTATTTCGCTCGGACATAATGTCAAGTGATAAACATGCAGTGCGGAGGCAGATTCGGCACAAGATGCACTTGAAGGCTTGCTGGACAATCTCTCAAGAGCCAAAGATAGTATCGGCCGTGTTACTCGTCAAGCGGTTGATTGTGCAAGGCTTGGAACCAGCGAACAGGTATTATTCTTTCTTTTCGTTCCTATCATTGATCTCTGAAGCTTTCTCATTGTCAAGTAGGCGATTGATATTATAGCCAGAAGGCTGGAAACGGAAAAAAGCTTTCACAGGCGCATTGACTTGTTCCTGGCAATCGACTCTATAGCGCAATGGTCACATAACCAGAAAGGTGTGAGAATGATAAAAGCTTTTTTCTTGTTTGTGTTCTTTGAAACCCGTAAACAATTTCAGGAACGGCCGCTGGAGCGTACAGTTCCTTGATACAAAATACCTTGCCCCGCCTGCTAAGTGCTGCAGCTCCTCCTGGCAACTTTGCGAGAGAGAATCGAAGGCAGTGTTTAAAGGTAACGAATCTCTATCAGGATGCCGATGTTCTGACACGAATCGTTTCCAGGTTCTCCAGCAGTGGCTGGAACGCAACGTCTTCCCAGAGTCCGTTGTCCGGCACTTCATGCGCGAGATCGAGTTTCACGACGCCGACAAGCCAGCCAACTTGAACGCCGGCCAGCGTCCGTGTAGAACCGAGCGCCCGCTCAACGATCCAATCCGGGAGATGGAAGGCATGCAAGTCGACGAATATGGCAGGTGATAGAGAGAGTATTTTTGAGAAAACGCGCTCACGCAGTCTTTGTCTTGTAATTGCAGCAACGCCAGCTTTCCGTTGCCGGGCCTGGCAATGCAGCGAGGCCCGGAAGACGACGAGTATAGCGGTGGAAAGATTGGAGGAGAGGACGAAGAGCTAGCTCCCGACCCGGCAGGACAATCCAGGTACCCCCACGTCTTGGAGCAAGTCGATGGCGAGCTCGAGATGGAAGACGTCTCGCCGGTGGTGGAGATAAACTGGGCCAGGCACTACGACGGGCACTTGTTCTACCTCCAAGCTCCGCCTTTGCCTTCGTCTCCGCCGCCGTGCACTCCTCCTCCTCCGCCGCTGCCTCCTCCGGACAGATTCGATCAACGCTACTACAGATTTGGCTACACTACGTGAGAGGTAAGTTCTATCTCTTCTTTTTGTTTTTTCACATTATTTTATTGTGCTTTGGTTGAATAACAGCAAACTATCATAGTCCCCTTTGTGTGGATCATCTAGTCATCCATAGGATCATCTGGCGTGTCCTGTGGCTTTCTCTTGATCACTAGCACGGGGCACGTTGCATGGGTGGTACAATAGAGGCTCACGGTACCAACAAACATCCTGCACGAGAAAAGCTTGCGTGATCCCCGGAAGAACTTGGGAGTTGAGTGAGAAGAGGACTCTACCTTTGCATCGTTTTGAGACCTCTGCTGCCAAGCACTAGCATGTCCGGCTGGAGCTTGGCAGCCTCTTTGCAGATGAGCTCCTTGGGATCGCCTGCTTTGATCCAAGCTTTACAGGGAATCTTCCCAAGAAGAAGAAAAAAAATTGGAGTTCATCAAAGGTTCTTTGTGAGATCTACCTTTGCATCGTCGCAAATCCGAACGAAATGCTCCAGCAAATGCAACCCCCGCGTGAGCTCCCGCTCCTTCATGCTGTGGAAGTCACTGGCGGATTCATACACACTGTCGAGATCGTCGTCCGGCCCTGGAGAGAAGAAACGCTAAAGATCAAACAGCGATCGAGCGAGAGAGATCTCACCGACCATCTTCGTCGGGGACCTGGATGTGGAGGATGCTAAGCTCGAAATCCTCGCGGCGATGGCCAATGGAGGAGGAGGTGGGCTTGACGAGCTTGTCGAGCACCCAGTGGAAAGCGGTGTCGCTGCTGATCGATGCGTGGGGATAGCCCTTGATCGATGAGTGACTCACAGCGATTAAGATCCTTGTCTTGGATGTGGATTGCTCCTTCTTCTCCTCTTCGTTACCGCTCGCCATGACCAAAAGACATGTGTCTACTTACCCTACAAACGTTCTTACTAATGTAAAATCGTTTTCCACCCGAAATCTTACCAAGATACATGCCCAAACTGGGCAAATGCTGTAAGCTGTAAAACTCAAAGAACAAAGTTGGGATTTACTATATAGGTAACTTTTTATGAGATGCTGCCACGTAAGGAGAGATGAGAGCTCTTCTCGTTCTCAAGCCTTTGCTTCTCTCCAGCTGCCAGGTTTCTAGGTTTTGCGCCCGCGTGCCCCATTCCAGGCGATCGGCCATGGCGTCTGGGAGCTGTGCCGGATTGGCAGCCAATTCCGCGGCGGCGACGTCGGCGATCGCGCTATCCCAAAGCGCTCGCGCGATCCCAGATCATCAGGCGGCATTGTCGCCCCTGCAAGATTTCGACTCCTCTGCGAATGCAATCGTAAGTGGATCATCTGTCTCGGCTTACCGGATGGAAATTTGTGCTCGTTTCTTACCTCTAGATCCTCGAGCCAGTCCGGGAGGGAGGTCAGGATGTGGCTATCGTGTTCGCTTCTGGCGCATTGACGCCCGCGAGCGATTACATCCCGCTTTGCCAGGAGATCCAGCGCTCTTGCGAGCTCCGGATGTGGATTGCGATTGTCAATCCTCCAAATAACGTGATTTCCCAGGAGATCATCGAGCAAAGCCTGGATGGAATTCTCGAGAGGATGAAAGACCGTGGGTTTCGTCCAGGACAGCTTGCAATGGATAACATCTTCATCGCAGGCCACAGGTACGCGATTCACATTGTTTTTTTTCTTATCTTTGTGATGATCTAAACGAGCTAGCCTCAGCTGGGGAGCCTGGACTGGAAGAGCAGTAGCAGTGGGTCGTGCTCAAGGATTCATCCAGATTGGAAGCTGCTTCCACACGAATCCAGATAATCTGAGCCAGTATCCAAAGCCGGTTCTCACTTTGAGCGGGGAGCTGGATGGACAGATCACTTTGGGAGCGATTGCCAAGCATGCAGGAGAGATCTTCGACGTCGAGGAAGAGATGGGAAGCTTCAATACTTATGGAAGGAAGCCCGTGGTGGTCATCCCCGGCATGAACCATGCACAGGTCTCACACGGAGTTCCAAACAAAGCTAGAGGAGACCTCGACGCCGAGATACCAATCGAGCAAGCTCGAACTGATGTTGGGAGATTGATCGCTGCCTTCGTCACGGTACATGCTGCTCCCGAGAGCGCGAGTGCGTTGCTTGAGCTGGAAAAAGCTGTGAAGAACACACACGAGACGTGTAGGAGTTACTGGGAGGCGATAAAAGAGCAGGGATCATCCGGCGTGAAGAACTATCAGCTCGATCTCGCAAAGGTATCGCCTCAAGTTTTGAGCGAGGGCCAGGTTTCTGTGATCCAGCACGACTACGAAGACAACTTTGTCTACTCCAAGCCGTGGATCGAGCACAAGCCAGCACGCAAGGTGTTTGTCAACACGTACTTGAAGAGCCAAGACAACTTTCAGGTGGTGCGGAGCTTGTGGATCAAAATGAAGAGCAGGGAAGCGATCACCACAGCTTTTAAAGCAGCTGACGATCAAAAGGACGACGCTGCATCATCACCATCGTCCAGGATCGCTGCCGGTTTCAACGAGAGAACGTTTCAAGAGGCCTTGAAGCTGGTCCCGGAGAGAGCCCGGGCAAAGTTCCTGGACCGTGGGAGGAAGCCGAGATTTGTGGACGATCTGGTGATCTCGGACTCGGCCCCCAAGTGGATCAAGAGCGACGTAACTTTGGTCGCTGCCGAGGATGGATTTGCCGACGTTCAATCGCCAGTTCTAATCAGTCCGATGGAGATGCCGCCCAGATTCGCTGGAATGCACTACATGAAACTTCTCACCATTGCTGGAGCCATGAAGTGGATCTTCACGGACTGCTATCGTACTACGTGATAAACGTTCGTGACAAAATGAAAACCATATGATATGTGAGCTGTATCTCAGCCGCTTGTTTGAAGGGCTCATGTTCGTCCACGTGTCGAGTATTGGTCTTGACTTTCTCATCTCGTTTAAACAAATCAAAGAGAATTGGATGTGTAAGAGTGGAGAGACTGTGACCTATCCGGCCTCTCGGAGCTCAGGGATGCGATTGCTGTGAAGGTACGGTCTCTCTTTCTCGCGATCTTCGATTTTCTTGTGGCCGCATTGTGGATCTGGATCGGATTCTAGGGAATCTGCGCAAGAGTCACCGATCCTCGGCTAGACATGGCAAGAAACCGGCATTTGTTCTTGGCGCTCCTCCTCGCGGCACTGCTGGCATGCGCGAGCTTCATCCAGGTACATTCCGAGGATGCCGACGATCTGGAAGATCTGGACGCCGAGGACGAGCCGCAGCACAAGGCCGCTGCTCACGATCTTGCCGAGGAGGGGCCCGAGGAGGAGGATTATGGATCCTGGGAGGACGAGCAGTATCCAGCCGTGGACGATAAGGACGTGGTGGTGCTCGGCAGCGGCAACTTCAGCGATTTCATCAAGAAGAACAAGTTCGTGATGGTGGAGTTTTATGCTCCGTGGTGTGGCCACTGCCAGCAGCTAGCTCCAGAGTACGCCGACGCCGCCACCAAGCTCAAAGGTGAAGTGGCTCTTGCCAAAGTAGACGCTACCGTGGAGCACGACTTGTCCCAGGAGCATGAGGTACAAGGATTTCCAACCATCTTCTTCTTCGTGGATGGTGTGAAGCGCTCATACTCGGGGCACCGGACTGGGTAAGCGAGATCTCTGCGTGAAAACCTTTATATTCTCGTATTCTTTTTCTTCAGGGATGAGATCATTAAGTGGATAAAGAAGAGGACCGGGCCTGCTGTTACAAATGTGGATTCTGTTTCTGATGCCGAGACGATTCTAGCAGCTGGAAGCCCAATCGCTGTCGCTTTCTTGAGCAGCTTGGAGGTATTTTATAGTTGATCTGATGGTATCTCACTGTTTTAGTTCCCAGGGTGCTGAAGCCGAGGAGTTCGCTGCTGCTGCACGTCAAGACGATAATGTGTTGTTCTATCAAACTACGAAGGCAGAAGTTGCGGAACGATTTGAACTGAAAAGGAAGAAGAGCCCAGCGGTGGTTCTTCTGAAAAAGGAGCACGAGACAACTTCTCACTTTGGTATTTGTATTTTATGTACAAGGCGATCTAACTTCTGACCTTGATTATCACAGATGGCAAGTTCGAGAAAGATGCAATCTCACAGTTCGTCTCAACAAATAAATTGCCTTTGGTTATTGTTTTTAGTGGGGAGAATTCTAGTTTGATATTTGACAACCCGATAAAGAAACAGGTATGGTGTTCAAATTGTGGGATATTTAAACTTGGTACTTTTTTATTCCAGCTTCTCCTTTTTGCTGGTGGCGAAGATTTCAAATCGTTGTATCCTTCGTATCAATCTGCGGCAAAAGCATTACAAGGAAAGGTTAGTGCTTTTCATTATGTCTCTGCTCGTTCATAAAGCATCTGGTGGGACAGCTTATTTTTGTTCATGTTGACACTGCGGGAGAGGATGCGGCACAGATCACTGAGTATTTTGGTATCACCGCTGAGAAGCCGAAGGTAGAAGCTACGCTAGAAATATCTTGATTTTACCAAATAATCTTTCAGGTGATGGGATTTTCTCCGGACGAGCAACGAAAGTTTATGTTGGATAAGGATATCACCACAGATAACCTCAAGGTGGTTTTCTTTTGTCACGTCCACTTTCTGTGTACTGAAGTTTCTTTTTTTCTGGCAGGCTTTTGGTGAGGACTTTCTGGCAGATAAGCTTCAGCAATTCTATAAATCTGAACCAGTACCAGAGAAGGTAATCCTATATGATTTCAGACAGTGGGCTCATCAGACAGTGCTTGTAGAATGATGGAGATGTAAAAATCGTCGTGGGTAGCAACTTCGACGAGATTGTTCTGGACGAGTCCAAGGATGTCTTGCTGGAGGTACACTGCTATATCTTAGCTTGTATATTCTACATTCTTCCTCTCGCCACGAATCCCCCTCGCAGATTTATGCTCCGTGGTGCGGGCATTGTCAAGCACTGGAGCCCATCTACAACAAGCTCGCAGCTCGGCTCCGAGAAGTCAAATCTCTGGTGATTGCCAAGATGGACGGAACAGCAAACGAACACCATCGGGCAAAGGTTCGTGTGATGTGGTCCTCTGTTCATTTCACTTCATCTCTTTTTTTTTTATCTTACGTACACGGTTGTCGTGTTGGTGCAGTCGGATGGTTTTCCCACGCTCTTGTTTTTTCCCGCTAACAAGAAGAGCTTTGACCCGGTAAGCACGCAATTCTTTTCGTCATGAGATCTCTCTGAGAAAAACTCTGGCTGCGTCGCAGATCACGGTGGACGCGGACAGGAGCGTCAAAGCCTTCTACCAGTTCTTGAAGAAGAACGCCGCGATCCCATTCACGCTACCAAAATCCGAGAAGACGAAATCTCAAGCTCCAGAGGAGGCAGCCGCCCCTCCCAAGAAGGAGGAGCTCAAGGACGAGCTCTAAGAAAATGAGAGAAGAGACGAGATCTCACTGGAGAACGTTTTTTAAGCAAACACGAGGAGAGAAGAAAAAAAAATTGGACTGCTGTTCCCAGGATTCGTACCGGCGCCCATCGCTATCCGGGCAGGCAGGCCCATGGCCATGCCGCATTACTCCGCTGCCCGTATGACGTGGCGCGCGGCAGGCGCCGGGCAGGCAGGGCGGGCAGGCATGGGGGCCATGCATGGGCATGCGGGGATATGGAGGCCGGTGGATGAACGGCGGCGATAAGGGGAAGTAAGGGGAGCAACCAACGCGCTCGATCTTGGAGGCGGAGGAGGGGCGCTATTTCACCAAGTGGCAGCATCGCAACGAAGAAGAAGACGCACACTGCCCATCAGAGACCACACACGTAAGGGAAAGGGGCTTTGTTTTTCTTGCTTGTGGCGTGCCGCGTGCTTGTGTGATTTCTACCCTAGCGCCGAGGCGCGGGCGAGCGAGCGAGCTCTCGGCGCTCCCTGTGGCGGGCGCTGAGATTGCCGATGCCTGTCTCTGTGTCTCCCCCCGGATTGATTGATTGGGTTTTAGCTGAGGATGATCCTCGGCAATGCGGGAAGGGATTCTTCTTCTTGTGATTCTCGTTTCTGGATAGAAGGGAGGAGGAGGAGGAGAAGGCGCTGGTGTTCCAGGGGCTGCTACTCGGTGGAGCCGGATTGAGCTTCTCCTCTCGGTGTGTGGGAAATTGCTTTCTTTTTTTTCCTTGTTATGGTTTCTTGGTCGCGCTAGGAAGTTCTGTGTAGAGGGTGTGTGCGTTCCCAGTGGGAGGTTTTTTTCTTGGTTTTTGTCGCAGTGCCGCTCAAAGATGTTTTTTTTTTCGCTCTCGCTCATTGTTTTTGATTGTTGTGGCACTGCTGCTTATGGCGTTGTTACGTCGGCAGCCCAGCCAGCCGAAGGGGCGAGAAAGCTTTGTTGTTCTTTCGGGAGAGAAGGGGGCCGAGTTTTTCTTGTTCTTTCTTTTTTGTTGTTTTTTTCGTCAGGCACAGCATTTGACTTCTCTCGGCTTGGAAAACTGGCCACGCGCGTTTTTCTAACCTTTTTTTTCCTCCTCTCTTCTCTCTCTTGTACTTTGCAGGAAAAAAAGGATGGCGGACGTGGGAAGTCCCAGGAGCCAGGATAGCCCACACTCGGACGACGCTGGTGGCCATGGTGGCGAACGCGACAACTCCAACGTAAGGGAGCAAGACAGGTTCCTTCCCATCGCCAACATCAGTCGGATAATGAAGAAGGCGCTGCCGGCGAATGCAAAGATCGCCAAGGATGCCAAGGAGACGGTGCAAGAATGCGTCTCGGAGTTCATCAGCTTCATCACTAGCGAGTAAGTATTGCTTCGATCCTTTGTGGTGATGTTAACTATCTTCTTCTACTTTGTAGAGCCAGTGACAAGTGCCAAAGAGAGAAGAGGAAGACGATCAATGGCGATGACTTGCTATGGGCAATGAGCACGCTGGGCTTCGAGGAGTACTTGGAACCTTTGAAGATCTACTTGCAAAAGTACAGAGAGGTAACGGAGCTCTAGCTTTTCTTTCTTCTCGAGGCTAACAGGGTTTCATGTTTGTCACTCCAATGGCTCTTGTGGAATCAGACGGAGGTGAGAATCACTTGTTTTGTTTTGGATCTTCGAGGATGAGTTCTAAAACCTCTAAAAAAATCGCAGGGAGACAAAGGATCGGGAGTCAAGGGAGAAGGCAAGAAGGACCAGAGCATGGCTGTTCCATCTCCTGTCCAGGTGTGTTCTTGCGTAAGTTTAGCTTGTTCATCGTCACTGACGATGCGTTGTTTCGATTTTTCCAGTCGAGTATGTACACCAGCATGAGTTACTTGCCACAGCAGGTAACAACACAATTTCCATCGCATTTGTCACGGCACTAAAGTTCTTCCATTGCAATTCTTTTCGTGAGTGCAGGCACTCTAGAGTGAGTGGACAAAGCTCTCGTAAAATTTGTATGATGGTGATACTCTCCTTGTGAGTTATAGCTAGCTTCTCAAATCAAAACAACGTCCTTTAATTCCATCTCTAATTGTTCCAAGCACGAACTCTAATATCATACATGGTTTCGCTGGAAATCTTTTGAGAGGTCTAGAATCAAAGAGAGCTAGGGTTCTTTAGTATTGTCTACTTTGTGGAATGGATATTTAACGCGTTGGGAGCTCCGGCGTCGAAGCCTCTCCAGATTGGATCGCCCATGGCTGGTGAGTGAGCGTTCTCCATTCACAAATGCGCTCTCCTGGGATGAGCTTGCATGGATTTGGATTTCTCTTTAGCGAGTCCAGGGCCCTTTGATCCAGTCGAATTTTGTGTTGCAGCTCTTTCTTCTTCTTCTTCGCTGCTAGGAACCAAACTGAGTGATGCTGCCGTGCATGATTTGCGGTGCCCTCGCTTTGCGCAGCTCAAATTCGAGAGAATAAGTGTAACGGGGCGGAGTTCTCGTCGGATCAAGCGTTCCGCGCAAGTGATCATAAGTTGTGCTGGTAGCGAATTGGCTTTGATGCTTCTTTTCTTTTCTTCTTTTTCTTTTTGCTGCTTGGATTCTCGATTGGAAGGAGAGGAAGAAGCTGATAGATCTTTTTGGAATGTTTGCAGGGACATACAACGCATCCACTGTTGTGGAGAAGATTGACTTTAGGAAGCTTCAAAATGGAAGGTAGTCGCTTGCTTCGTTCTGGCACGTCACAAACACCACTTTTTTCTTTTCTTCTTGCAATTTCTTCGCAGTGACATCCGTGGAGTCGCTGTTGCTGGTGGAGAAGAGGCTGTTAATCTGACAGTGGACGTCGCCAAAGCGATTGGTGCTGCATTTGCGCAATGGCTGGCTGATAAGAAAAAAGAATCCACGTCCAGTGCTTTACGGGTCTCAATCGGCCACGATTCAAGAATATCTGCGAGCTCCCTCGAGGTCTGATGCCTATGTTAGTGATTCTTTCCTTTGACGACTTCTTCTTCTTGCTTTTTTTTTTTTATCAAAATACGCAGCAAGCAATTGCCCAAGGCATCGTTGATACTGGCTTGGACGTTGTTTTGTACGGGTATGTGTGATTTATTTCTTAAACTCGTTGATTATCTGGCGTGTTTCTTGCAGGCTCGCATCGACCCCGGCAATGTTTAACAGCACAGTGACGGAAAGGGGGGATCTCTTATGCCCAGCTGATGGTGCTATCATGATCACAGGTAAGTAAGAGAATTTCCGAGACGTGGAATACGATTTCACGTTTCTCTCCTATTGCAGCCAGCCACCTTCCTTACAACAGGAATGGTTTCAAGTTTTTCACCAACACCGGTGGTCTTGGGAAGGCTGATATAAGCGACATCCTAAGCCGTGCTGCTCAGATACACAGCGGAAGCTCCTGGCAAGGAGACGTGACATCCAAGGACATGAAGAGAGTGAATTACATGGACCACTACGCGAGCGATCTTGTGAAAATTGTTCAAGCTGCCGGTGGAAAAGGTGGGCTTACAATTTGTGGTGTTGTGATTTTTTTTAAAAACATTTCCTTGCATGCAGAACGTCCGCTCGAAGGATTTCACATTCTTGTAGATGCAGGAAACGGTGCTGGTGGTTTCTTTGCGGTACTGATATATTTTTCACCATGCAGCTCTTGTGTCCTGACTCAAACTTTTCCAGGAGAAAGTGTTGAAGCCTCTTGGAGCAGATACGACCGGAAGTCAGTTTTTGGAGCCGGATGGTACGAAACTCTGTTTGAGAAATGAAGTTTTTACCTTCTGGACTTTGGCAGGCATGTTTCCGAATCATATTCCCAATCCTGAGGACAAGAAAGCAATGGAAGCCGTGACAAGTGCTGTTCTCAAGCACAAGGCGGACTTGGGGATCATATTTGACACGGATGTTGACAGGTTTCTTTATTTTCGTTTCCATCCTTGTTCTTTTGGAAGTAACTTTTGCGTATAGATCTGCTGCAGTGGACTCCAGCGGCAGAGAACTTAATCGTAATCGCTTAATTGCACTTATTTCTGCCATTGTTTTGGCCGAGGTGTGTGCAAATTGCCTTCTCACAGTTTTGGTAACAGCTTGAAAGTTTTCAAACGACAGCATCCCGGGACAACAATTGTGACCGACAGCATCACTTCAGATGGCCTCACAGAATTCATCGAGAAGAAACTGGGTATGTTTTGATCAAATATGCAACGGTGTGATTGAATCTTTCCTGTTCCTTTTACAGGGGGAAAGCATCACCGGTTCAAGAGAGGATACAAAAATGTGATTGATGAAGGCATACGCTTGGTAATGACACAGTCATGTCACACAAACTTTCAGCTCAACTAACGCAAAATGGTTGTAGAACTCGGTGGGTGAAGAGTCCCATCTAGCCATTGAGACGAGCGGGCACGGAGCATTGAAAGAAAATCGCTGGCTGGATGATGGTGCTTATTTGATGGTAAATTTGTATTCTCTCTTGGAGAAGCATTGTATGATTTCTTTTCATGTACCAGGTAAAGCTTCTTATCAAGCTTGCCGCTGGAAAAGCAGCAGGGGAGGGCGAGGGCAGTGAAGTGCTGACGAGACTGATCGAAAGTCTTGAGGAGGCAGGATTTGCAACGGAGTTCCGGCTAAAAATCAACGAGAGCCATCAAGACGTTGGCTCCAAGTGAGTCTTTTGATTTCCACTTTTTTGTGATTGTTCCTCTCTCTTTATGTGCAGAACATTTCGAGAGTATGGAGAGGAAGTTCTGCGTCGCCTGGAGGAGTCATTGTCTTCCGATAGTAATCTCACCAAGGCCCCAAAGAACTACGAAGGGGTGGGTGTTTCTCTTCCTCGTTCTGTTTCTCTTCCAAATCTCATTCACTGCTGGATGATCCAGGTGAGAGTTTCGGGACATGGAGGATGGTTTTTACTGAGGCTGTCTTTGCACGACCCTGTGCTGCCACTGAACATCGAGGTGAGTGAAAGAAATTTTAAAACAGGCACTGAAAGTTTGGATGAGTCCAGGCTCCCACGAAAGATGCTGCGCAAAAGCTGGGATCGTTTGTCATGGAAGTGGTCTCTGGATTCAAGGCATTGGACGTGTCAAGCTTGCAAAAATTTCTTACATAGAAGAGATGTATAAGTATCAAACGAACTAGCATTTGCTATCAAACCTAGGGGTTTTGCAAAGGGTTTTGCGCTATAGAATCGTTCTCTCATCGGGGAATGTGAATGCGCAGCGAAATGGCAGCGGCGGATGATCTCTGGCTGGTCAGCTGCTTGAATGCGACGCTGGATCCCAATCTGGGAGCTAGGAATCAAGCGGAAGGCGCTCTTACGGAGGCATCAAGAAAGACAGGTTTTTCTCCCCTCTCACATGGTCATTGGAGTAAATTTGGATTCTCCTGGCAGGATATGGCATTGCTCTCGCCAGAATCACACTGAACAACGATTTCTCGCTGGGAGTGCGTCAGATATCCTTGGAAAGTTTAGTTTCTTCTCTTTTCCTCGCAGCGCTTCCTTTAACGGATTTCACCTAACGTGAAGAAGCATTACTTCACCTCTTTCCTCAAGACAAGGTAAGGTCTATTACCATTCTTCACAAAAAACCGCAAAAACCGCAACAAAGCTCGTGTTTTTCGTGTTTTTCCTAGGATACTGCTTTTTCTATTATTGTGTCTACAGGCTACAAGACAAGGTCGAGATCCAAATTGCAGCCAGACCAGTTTACGAGAGTTTCCGCACTTCAAAAGGTTTGATCGATTATGAATGGCTTTAACGCTGACAAACCTTACTTCAGATTTTCTCCCTCCCGGCTCGTGGTCTAGTCGAAGGACAAGAGGCAGCCAGTGGATGAGGTAAATCTAAATGTTCGAATTCCAAAGTATTCAGCTTCTCTCAGGATATGTAGTGCTAGCCAATCGCTGCGGTCTGTTTTCGAGCCTGCTGATTCGTTTCGTAGACGTTTTGAATGGCGACGTGGTTAGAGCTAATCCCTGGAGAAAAAGCTGTGGCATTGATATTCGTTTCGTTTTCCAGGGTGGTGACGAACCAAGCGCTGAAGTCGATCCAATCAATTAGGTAAGCGTTACGATAATTACGTGATATGCAAGCGTGTATCTGGCGACACCGACATTGCAGGTCAATCTGGTGGACTTCTTGAAGAGATTCTCAGAAGAAGCTCCGCTTGCGTTCTTCAAGGTGAGACATGTGTAAATCAAGGTGTTGTTACCAATCTGCTCTTCTCCACAGGAGCTGTCTGATCGGGAAAACCGTGCGGTGTAATGAGAAGTTGCCGATAAATTTTGTAGGAAAGAGACTATGTGGAACGTGGAACCAAATCCACTAAAAAATCGAAGACCCTTTCAATAAATATACTCAAGTCGGAGAAAAGGGTAGGGCAAACAGGTTTGAAGATGGAGGAATTGGTGTTGTCGCCGCGCTACCTTCCAGCAGTAGCTGATCTTGCTAGATGTAGAGCAGTTTGTAAATCATGGGATAGGGTTATTCGAGAAGTGGGCAGCTGCGCCCTAGCGCAATTGAAGCAGAAGCTGCAAACAGAAGGTGAAGAAGTTTGGGTCTTGTCCAGTATATCGGTACTTCAGAATAAGGAGCCTCCACCTATACCTCTGCCTTTGGACTTTGTCGAAAAGTTTGATGATGAATATGAGTTATGGTCGCCAGACGCTCGAATCAGGTTGCAGTTTGTTCCTTTCCCGTACTTTCGATTCAACTGTCATGCTTCCCATCAAGGTCTGGTATTTTGCAGTTCTGACAACGATAACAGCTTGTGGTTTGGAAATCCGATGACAAGAGTGTGGAAACAGCTGCCTCTGCAAAAAAGACTAGAAAATTGTAATACTTGGATTTGCACGACATTGTTTGTAGATCCAAATTGCTGGAGTTACAAGATTTGCATCCTAATGGTGAAAGACTTCAATAGGCGCAAATATGATCTGGAAAAGAGTCCAAAGCATGTCGCAGTGTTCGATTCTAAAACATGGAGATGGCAGATATGGGAAAATGACAATGAGTGGCATGTTAAGCTGCATCAAGTTGAATTCAAGCATAAAGAACAAGTATTTGCAGATATTCACCATTCAGGTGGAGTTCAATTCTACAACTTGAGCAAGATTGGTAACGATGCCAGGTGGTGGAGCTTTATAGTGGATGTAAAGCTCCCAATGTATGTTAGCAAGTACAGTAGTCGTGCAGTTTTCTACTACAAAGGATGCTGGTTTCTAGCTGCATATCTTAATAATTATGCATATGTGATCTTCAAGCTCCAACAAAAATCTAGAAGGAACAAGCTTTATTGGAGGCGGTTAAGCGTGATTACTTTCATGAGCTTGTATGGTGAAGAGTGGATGAAATTTGTTCGACGTCAGTCAGAGGAACCAGAATTCAAGTTTTGGCTGCACGGAAATAAACTGGTGATATGTAATCTTGACCACGTGATACCACCTGCTCTTTTGGATATCGAGGCCTTGACTTGGAAATGGCACATCCCTAAGTCGAATGCCAAACAGCTTCTTGATGAGCTTCATTGGGATGCAACTTGCGCATTCGTCCCCAATTGGGATGCCAATCCAGAAGGTTGTGGAAAAGGCGGCTCTTCGGCTGTACTATTTCGATCTAGATCTAGCCGAAAAGTGCGTCCTTGAGGCCCATACGTTTGCAAGGCAGCGATCGAGATGCGCGGGAAATCGATGCTTGCTGCGATGAGATTTAGCATGACCTTGGACCACCGTGGTCGAATCTTACCGCCGCATAATGGTTGTAGGAATCGCTGTTAATGAGCCGGGGAGGTTCAGATGCAGCAGAACAAGATGCATTCAGCAACGGGCTTGTAGACCATGCTAAAGGATTAGGGGGTCGCTTATGCCTGTGGGCAGCATCGAAGCGTGGCTTGGAAACACATGGCAATGTACGGCCAGAACGGGGGATGCTGCGGCGGAATGCGGTCTCCTGGAATGTTTTGTCACAAGCTTACGGGCAGCAGAGGCAGATCAAGCAAGCTTTGAGGGGTGCCCAATGAGATACATAGCCACTGCTGCTTTTGAGATTGAAGCAACAAGTGGCTCCTCTCATACCAGATTCGTTTTACAATTTGCACTCCTTTGAAATAGACCTTGATTGATTCTATATTTGTGCTTACTTCCTTGAAATGTATAAAATAGATTTGTTCTATAAGTTTATTTATGGAAGTTTATTTTCAAATCAAGTTAGTAGTGAGTAAAAGTGCCTTTTCATTTTCAAAATGTCTATTTAATTACTTAAAGCAGGCATTGGGTTGGACAACCATGTGTGTAATCCAAGGTAGTTATTTTTCTCACTATTTTATGATGGTTTTAAGCATTGCCTTTTTCATAAGTTATGTTCTAATTCAACAATTGTGACAATAGAGTTTAAAGTACAACTAAATGATTTATGAAGTCCCTCTTTAATATTGTGCTAAAGCAAATTGATAAACCTGCCAACTTTTACACACAGATGGGGTTAGGGTTAATTAGAATAATGTTTGGACATTTTTTAGAAATGGTCAGTCTCTAGAAGGTTGTGAAAAGATTTGCAAGTTCTACTAAACTTAAAGCTTAGACTAACATTGCCACTTTATCAAGCTAGATTTCTAGCTAACGTTTAAGGACTTATGCAAACAATGGTAAGTTGCACTTTTTGAAAAAGAGCACAAAGCAAAAACAAATGAGATTTAAATGTAATGGTATAAAGATGGTTATACATATGTAAGTTGTTTACCACAACTTAAGTCGTGGTTAGGGTGGTTTAAACTTAAAATGTTTCAATGAGAATATCACTCTCTTTATGTTGGTTTCTCTTCTTTCTTCTCTTTTTATTGTTTATTAATATTACCTTTTTCATTAAGATCAACCACTTGAGGACTTTTTGTACACCTCAACTATGAATCTCTTCGAGAGAAAATACTAGAGCTAGCATTTCTCTGAGGCAAAGATAGGGAATTAAATTTGTATGATACATGTTTATAAAATCTGATATATGCTATAAAGCAATATTCAAAAGCTTTAACATTTAAAGAAGTAAGATACGTGGGAATAAAGCTTTCTTTTAAAATATTACACGATCGAATGAAAAAGAAAGTGATTCCACATGCATGAATAATGGCAATTGCAATGGAGGAAGTGGTCCAAAATATTTTTATTTATATAAAATGCAAAAAGATGTTAAAAATATTATAAAGTTAGGTTCATTGAGCTTAGCTCTTTAGCTCATGAACTCAAGAGTGGTCACACTCCAATCTAATTAGATTTGAATAACCATTTTGTCCATACTTATCCATATTCCTATACATTATGCCTAGAGTGCTATGTTTCCATTAAATAAATATATAACTCAATAATATAAGTTTAATATTTAGGTTTTATAAAGGCAAGTTGGAAGAATAGTTGTTAATTGTTTTATGATTAGTGATTGCTTGTAGACTTTGTTGAGGACTATTGACACTTTATTTAACTTGATGATGATTTAGCAGTGATGGATTACTTACCAAATGGTACTACAGAAGATTGTGTTCTTGGGCTTTCATGATTTTTCCATGTTAATATATTAGTTCCACCTTTGTCAATATTGTTTAGTTGCATTTTATTTGTGGTATTAGATTGCATTAAGTTTTTGATGTGGTAACTCACTCTTGGATGATGTGCTATTTATATTTAAGTATTATTGAATACTAAATAAAGTATTTTTGACTTTAGTTAGCTTCACTGGTAAAAGAGCTTTGAGTGGTGATTCACTTGATATGGAATTGAGGTTATAGTGAGATGAGACATTTTCTCCACGGCATAGTTGAAATTTTAGATTTTTCATTTGTGGTGATTTAGATGGTTGGTATTGGTTAAGGTCCTTTGGAGATAAACATTTTGTTTTGCTAATCTCCACAATAATAGTTTTGATATTTTAGCTATACTTTTATATTGTTAACATTCGTGCATTTGTTAGTTAACAACTATGTTGGCATTCAAATAGATTAAATGACAAGTTGAGTTAGCTGTGTTCTAAATAATATAGTTTTGTAGGGGTTTAGATTTAGCTTTTCCTTGAAAAATGATTTTATCATAGACTATACTAACTTTGCAAAAGAAAGAGTTAGTAATTAATTAACTTGAATGATATTGATCATTAATGATTTTTAATACACTTATTATGAAGTGAAT